CAATCTAATACTTTTCTACAAAATAATATATAGACTCCCGTTTGCAGCAATCCTGCCCAATCATGGACCTACAATGAAACAACGCATATACACTACAAAAAGTGAAACACAGTGCGACTGTGTCGCAATATCTTAGCATTGTGGTACATTTTATTGCGGAATAGCATATCAGTTTTTATTAGAATACGCGATGTGATCAACAGGTTTATTAATCATTTCCACAACTCATACCACATCACGTCTTTATGCTCCTACCCCTAATAATTTCTTTAATATTAAAGTAACATTCTTTTGTCTCATAAACCTTCACTTTTAATTTCGATTAGACAGATAAATTAAAAAACCTGTAGTTGCTGTTCACGTGTGGTTGATCACAAGGAACTCGAATGAATCTGTATCATCGTGAGTTCCTTCTAGCTCATGTATTACCACTTTACTATCCCCGACTTATGAACATTCAGCCATGTTGTTTATTTACTAATTTATCACCTTAATGATACATTTTTACCACACTTCAATGCAGCTATTTATTCTTCCCATCTTCAAACTACGCATTAACTGATCAGCACCTTATTATTTATAACTATGATAAACTAAATTTCACGCTGGTTTGTGACTCAACACAAGCTGAAGTTCACTTTGCATAATTGCCGATCACTTAAAGAATTATTACCGCTGGAAGCCAATACAGAAATCCGATATGAAACTTTTCACGCTAGTTAAGTATACCATAAGAAAGCAGCCCCTCTATTATTTTCAAAATGTCTCATTTGAAAAAATTTTTCAGTCTTCTAGCCAATAAGATAAGAAATTCTCATGGAATCACTATCATGAAACAACTTAGTAAGCAGCTGTTTTCGAAGATTTTAGTCCAACAGGAAAGTTTCCACTTTTACAGAAACATGTGATCGACAAATGGAAGTGACATTTGTTCTATTAGCTTACTGAACTATATTCCAAAACAATGGTGAGATTGATAATATCAGCTATATCTGTATTTTATTTTTGAAACGTCGATGGTGAAGTACATTTTGGTATGATGTTGGAGTCTTAACTAACACACATTCATGTCACACTGTACACACACCTCGAAATCACAGTTCTGCATGAACTAATATGACCAACTTCAAAGTACTGGTTAGCCTAAACGTTATGTTCCAAAATGAGCAAGTTAAAATATACATTAGTCCTACAGCATAACATGTTGTTCATCTCAACACGATGATTCTTAGCAGATAATAACATACACACTTTGGGACCAGTGATAAATTGGCAGGTTTCATTTTGATACAATCTTTTTCATGTACGATATATGTGAATGAACTAAAAATTCAAAAAATATAACTAAACATAACTCTGTCGGATAAATATATTATTAAATTTCATGTAAAACTAAAAGACCAGTACTGTTTGAGTAGAGAGCTTGTATAAGGTTATTCTACTTCTCTGGTATTTCTTTCAGTGACAAACACTGACACAGAGCTTAAGGACCGACTGAGTTAAACGTCACCTTAACCTCGAGAAATAATAATATTGTGGGACGTATGAATGTATGTCTATGTTCTAAAACCTGACGAAGTATGATTATTCGGTCTATACATCCATGTCCAGGTTTGAAACCAACCTGATTCTCTCGAATCTGCTCCTCACAAGCTCTACTTAGGCGTCTAAGTATTATCAAGGCTAACAATTTAAACACTATGTTAATCAAACTGGTTCCTACGTGATTGTCACAAGAGGACTTTTTTCCTTTCGTTAAGGCTAGGACGATCAGTGATTGTGCTGGGATATTCAGGAAATATCCTACCGATAGCTACATGGCAGCATTATAACAATTGGCGACGGGGATTTAGCAAACGAGTTGGTGACTAATTATGGATCCAGCTAGATTAGAAAAATTATTTGCACAACAGCTGAAGCTGATGGAGATGCTTACTCAGGCGCACATCTCTTCTCAAGTCTCATCTACACCGACGATTCCTCAATCAGTCGATGGTATGACCAATAGTATTTCAGAGTTTCTTTATGATCCTGACGCCAATATTACATTTGACACCTGGTTCAGGCGTTATGAAGATCTTTTCAAAGTCGACTTTGCTGACAGAGATGATTCCTGGAAGGTGAAAATTCACCTTCGGAAACTTGGTTCGTCAGAGCTGGACAAATATTGCAACTCCATCCTACCTCAGCGGTTTTTGTCAATCAACCCGATCCACTGGCCGGCGAAAATCACAGACGCAGCTACGTTTTACCACAAAGCCGTTTGCCACATCAAGGACTTTGGCAGCAGTCTTCCATACCGATGCATCTACTCGACTCAAATTTCCGAACCTCTCAATCAATGGTCAGCAGGTTCGGTTGCAGTTGGATACCGCGTCAGATATCACTATTATGTCAGAAGAGACTTAGCGAACTTTGGGTCAACCGCGCATCAAATTATCGTAGCAGACAGTTGCCAGTGCCTGTGAGGGTCATCTCCACCTTCATGGTAGACTCAATTGCTATGTTGTGTTCAGAGGTACAACCTTCAATCGAATGTGCTACATCACCAAGTCTCCTCTCAACCTTCTGGGGTTAGATTGGTCTGAAAAACTTGGTCTCGCTGATTTTCCCATCAATACTATCTGCAACCAAGTACAAACCCCTGCCACTAAACAACAGCATGCAGCAGGTCTTCCAAAACGATTCACTGGACTCCTTCAACCTGGTCTCCGACTGCAGCCAGTTGCTACGCTCGAATGAGGGAAAAAAGAGCCTACAATAGACAGACAAAGACTTTCACATGACTTCATTCTTTCTTGTCAATCTTTGAGGGTCCAAGTGTCGCTAGATAATGATATCATGAATAACTTTCCAAATGCCAAAAGATCTCGTGATCAACTAAGACCAAGGGGAGATAAAGGTGAAATTACGAAGCGCCTGCCACTCTGTTCACTGTTGAATGCTTTTAAACTTCCGCCGATACCTCCAACAGAGACTATCGAGTCATCGAATCAAACAAAACATCCTACAGCTTCAGAGTTGTTGCCTAGGTGGTCAAAACACAGACGAAGAGAAACAAAGTAATTTCATGTAAACACTCGGCTGTGTAGTTGTTAATTTTTTTCTTCCAGAGAGAAGTGTTAGGATATTCAGCAAATATCCTAAGAGAACTATTGTTGGAAGTTATATTCTATTGGTTAATATTACGGTCGTCCTAACTATCAATATCAGAGACTTCAACGTTGTTTCCCATTCGACCTAACTGTATAAATACGTATTATCTGTAAAGCTTATTACTCAGTCCTTTATCGCTTCTGTAATCGACACCATAAACAACTTCATCTAACGGTGTTGTGTTCTGATATATATATTGGAGATTTGAGAACAGTCTTATAGGGGGTCGTATTGGAATATCTGAAATTGGTCAATCGGTAGAATATCGAATAGCTAGCTACATAGTAGGATTATAACAGATTGGCAGACCAGTCGTATAGGATTATGCCAAGTGTCGAGATCCCAACTAATCGATAAACATGTAAATGAGCTGAAAAATACTCACAAAATACAATTAAACATCGCTCTATCAGATAAGTATATAGTTACATTCCATGCTGAACTAGAAGACACTCCGGCATGTGTTACGTATGGCTAACCACCGACTGCATCGACGAGCTATGTTTTGTGGTGTAGGAGTAGGTTGGAAAAAAGTTAGGGGCGGCCAGACCAAAACATGGCAGAAATCCATGAAGTCACTGACAAGTGGACTGAGTCATGTTGGTAGATGTAGGCTACCTGGTTGGGGTCCACGAGACGAAAGTCACTAATTGTTAGAGACCTTGTACGACACGGCTCAAAATCGTTTGCAATGGCGCAGGTGCATCCACTCTTTGAGCTCTGTCAAATCCTAATCTTCTGGATTCAGCAGCACCTCTACCTTTGTCTTTCTAACCTTATTTCACTGAATTATACTTCTTGAATAATATCTTCGAACCCTAGTCTTCTTTATAACCATTAATACCCCTACTATCTTTATCACTATGGGATTTGATTTGACATTTGCGTCTCTGTGATAATAATGTGGTATGGCAACATGAACTGATGTACATACGTACGAAGTTCTACGTTGCAACTGACTGACCGGCACATTATATATATATATATATATATATATATATATATATAAGAGCATTGTGACTATTTCAGAGAACAAATAAGTGCAATTTTTCTGATATATGCCTAATTTATAAGTAGTAGTTATGACCAAAACAAAAAAAACTAAAATCACAATACATTTTAATTCAGTGAAAAAGAATTATTTATTTTTTTTCTGTCTTAAATATTTAAATTTATAAATACATAATCATGATAATAATAGTAATACGTTATTTATTCACTCATTCATTTAATCATTGGTCATATTTGTGCGCGATGAACAACACCAGTATTATATTACGTATGAAAGAGGACAGACAGATAAAAAGAGAAATTTTAATTTAGTTTGTTTCAACCAAATATATATATGTATATTTATATATTCATATATTTATATATTCAATATATACGTGTCAAGACCGACGACATTCATTACAACAAAACATAAAAGGGGGCAGAAAACAGAAAAGAAAAGGAAAATTAAGACTGGACAATTCAAATTACATTCTGTAAACTGAAATGATGATGAAAAATACTAATACTAATTATAATAATCATAATATTACACTAAACAAATGTTGGCGTACAAAACTTTCGTTTTTTCTCGCTCCCCATTAGGAGATGGGGCAACCACAGCAGGAGCACCAGCAACAGCAAGGCAAAGAGATATACACGCACGACTGTGTTGTTCATCGTTCTTCCTCCCCTTAATAGTAATAATAATAATATAAGCACAAAAAGCTGAAGAATTAATTAGAAGACGCCAATGCAGATGCAGATTCAGAAGAAGACGAAGTAGAGATACAAATAACAAATAGAGATGATCAACAAAAAAGACTGACATCAATGTGGCTTCCATGAACGGATTACTTCCTGTCGTCAGATAATCCACTACAGTAAAAGGAGAAAAAAAGAATTCGAATAGAATGAACAACAAAATTGACAATTGAACTGAAAAATAATGGTAACTGGAATTATGACATTGTTACGCCTGCACGTAAACACGTCAACTTGATAGACTTGAACTATTACGAGTTTACCTTAGTCGGAAAAAGAGAGCAAGGATCGAGGATCCGGGGACACGACATGCTACTCAAATCCGAGTGTCCCAACTCTCAATATTGAGTAATAATAAGAAGACTTGATATGAAGTAGGACCTGTATTCTACAAGCATCCAGAAAGTACGAGGTCCAAGTCCAGAAGAGAATCAGGATCCCGGACTAGGGATCCGGGTCATAAAACGTTACAGATAATGCGTATTTATACATTTAGGTCGAATAGAAAACAGCATAGAAGTCTGTGACATTGACAGTTAAGACGATCAATAGGAAACAACAGTTGAAGTGACAGAAATTCAGAATGGCCAATAAGAAACAACATTGGAGCACGTGACATTGATATCTAGGATGATCATTAAATTGACCAGTAGTAATTAACCAATAATTCTATAAGGATATTGGATGAATATCGTAACACAAAGTGAGTCGTCTTGTATGGTGATTGATTGCGACGTCCGTCAAGGTTGTCCACTTTCACCATTTTTGTTTTACTTTGTCGTTGACACACACTGTGATCGTTTGAATTTTCAGGAGTTGACCTTCTACCAGGAGATTCACTACTTGACTTAAAATATACCGAAGACATAGATTTACTTGGTAAAGATGCTGACAAAATGCAGAGTACTCTGGCCACACTACGCGCTAATGCAAGCAAGTTCATGATGCGATTCTCTCCGTCGAAATGCAAAATGCTGCTTCAGGATGGGCTTTCATCGATACCTGAACTAGTGTGATAAAGAGTAAAGCAACTGAACATGGCGACCACTTAATTTATTTTGGGAGTCTTATCCATGCTGATCGCCTGGCAACCGACGAAACCTCAGCACGGATATATAAAACTCGACTACGTTTCCCAAATTGCATCACTTACGACGTAGGCGAGATATCCGTTTGCTGACTAAAGGACTAGTCTACTACACAGTAGTTCGCTCCATCCTACGTTATGGCTGAGAAACAAGGTCAGTAAGAATAGAGAATATTCACAGATTTCTAGTATTCGGTCATAGGTTTCTTCGAAGCATTGCACGCATATCCTGAGACCATTGAGTAAACAATGATGTTGTAAGGAAACGATACTCTATGCAATGATGGTAGATCAGTAAATGAATTAGTGAAGGCGGTTGAGACAAGTGTTATGAATAGCCGACCACCGACTGTATCAGCGATCGATGATGCATGTTCGTGTAGGGGGGTAGGCTGAGAAACTCCTAATGATTAACCAGTAATTTTCAAATAACACAGGTCAAGTAGAACATTTCTATCTTAAGTAAGATAAACGAAAATACACTATTATGGACCAATACTTTCTTCTCAAAAAAACACAACTTACCTAGAAATTCGTGAAGGAAATCCTGAACCACCAAACGGTCGTTTTCTTTTTTGGAGTAATAGATAAATATAAAAACGCATTAAAAATATGATTTGATAAACATAATTTTTTTAAGAAAATGTTGGAAAATATTAATTTTCAATCCGTAAAAGACAAATAATACAACAATAATATTTCGTTAGTGAAGTTGGTGAGAGAAGATGAACTAGAAGATGAACCAGACCACGTGATACATGCAGAAAACACGCACAATAAACACATTTGAAACAGAGAGATCACACAATTAAACTCCGCTTCGAGGATCTCTGGGGCTACTGCCTGTCCCAAGCCCGTGTGTAAAGGAGGAGGATTGGGCATGGGGGTTGGCGATCGAGTACCATAAAATAAACCAACTAACTCGCTAAAAATCGCTAACCAGAGATTACACATTTATTTCACAATCAAGTGCACACACTTTTGAGACAAGTTCAATCAAAAATACTAAATAGAAATGTTGTTTATATAGTTAAGTGTAGATGTCATGGTGATATTAACGATTTTTGTACGATTGACAAATGTCGATCAACATGGTCATTTGAATCTAGTATGTTCTTCGAGTGATGTTGGCATGAAATATGTTTTTTTTATGAAAAATAAAATTTCAACTTGAACGTCGATATCTAGTTGATTAATTTTATTTCCATAGTCATAGAATCTAGGGATCCAGCAATAAAAAAGCTCTAATTGTAGTATATCTAATTGAAAACAATATTGTTCGCTTATATTTGTGTTGTTCTAATCCACAATATGAGAACTTTTTCAATATATATTAAAGTCCTGTAGGGATCCGATCACATTTAGTGTCAGTTAGTGTGTTGTGACGGGTGTACGAAGGCGGATGTCACTTATTAGCTGCCCACACAACGGAACGATGTTTCTTGAGGAACCTAGAAAGGAAGATGGATTAGTGTTGGTCTTAGAGACCTGGGAGCATGAGAATGTACGTATGTACATCAGTTCAAGTTGCCATACCACACAGTAGCACACAAAGATACAATTGTAAATTTCAATTCCATAATGGTAAAGGCAGTAGAACTATTAACAGTAATAAGGAAGATTAAATTTCGAAGACAGTAATCAAGAAGTATAAGAAAGTGTAATAAATTAGAAAACGAGAGAAAAAAACCATTATGAGGAGTTCAAAAGATTAGAATTCGTAAGAAGACAAGTACTGGATGTGTTTGTGCCCATGAAAACAATTTTGAGCCATGTCATTCAAAAGAAGATTCCTCATGAGCACAGGTAATTTGCATTACGGGGTTGTGAAGATTATTAAGTTACACATTTTTGAAACCATGATACCGGCTCAGTGGTCTAACGGTTAGGGCGTTCGCGCACAGTACCGAAGGTCCTGGGTTCGAATCCTGAGAGGGACGGGAGTCGTGGGTGCGCACTGCTGAGGAGTCCCATACCAGGACGAAACGGCCGTCCAGTGATTCCAGGTTTCTAATGGTGGTCTAACATTGATCGATTCATGGTTTCCAAAATGTGAAACTATCTTTCAGCCTACTCCTCCAGCATTACGAAACATCACTCTTTGCAATAGTCAGTTGATAGTTACACATATGGAACACATATGTTCCAACTCATATTTTAAAGTACTTTTTTTTTCTTAAAAACAACTAATAAATCAAACTTCCGATAAGTGTACTTCAATTAATAAGCAAAAACAAACATGTAATAGAATACATCTGATAACCAGTAAATGGACAGTCAGTCTGCTAGCCTTTGATGAGTATAATGAGTTTATTTTTAAAAGTAACGGTTAAAAATTGATGTGTTACGGTTTTTTTAAATTTTATTTGAAACCATAAACCAATTGTAAATGAATGAAATTAACTGTTACAGATCAATGAAACACGACACAATTTTATTATGACCTTATTGTTATTCGATAAAAGATTTAAATCAAAAAACTATTCCATGTCATAAATACACACATTATTATTATCATCAAAATAACCAATCAGTCAATGTATGCACACAGAAACAATAGTTTGACTGTTGAATAAACGGGAGCAAAAGTTAGAACAGTCCTGTATCAACAGACTCAACACAAAAATGGCCATCACATTATTTATCTAATAAAAGGGTTATGAATCGGGAAGAGAAGTAAAAGTAGCAGTAGCGCCCAGAGCTGCTGTGGGGTTACTGCCTGTCTCAAGCCCAGATAAAAGAGGAGAGTTGAGCATGGGGTTGGCGACCCAAACTCAGAGGAAACTAACTCGCTAAAAAAACATTAACATAAGTATATGATGTGTTTGCAAATTGTGGAAGACTGGGATAGTTACTCAAGTTGCTTCGGAAATGAAAAAGTACAACCTGTTGGTACTATATGGAGTGAAAAACTTGGAGAACTACGAAAGCCATCATTCGTAAGATATCAATGTTTATTGAAAGTTGTCTACGCCAGATACTCTTTATCCGTTAGCCAGACACCATTAACAATAACCTAACGTGGGAGAGAATAAACCAGATTCCAACGGAGGAAGTAATCAAGAAGTGAGACTAGAGGTGGATAGGATACACACTGTCAAAAATACGCAACTGTGTCTAAAAAACACATTACGCCGATAACTGAAGACAGACACGACAAGAATGAACAAAAGTTGGACAGGACTGGAAAGGAAGGCTCACAACAGAGTAAGTTGTAGAATGCTGGTCGATGGCCTATGCTCCATTGGGAGTAACAGGTGTAAGGGTTAAAATGGCGCTGATTAGTATCGTTTTACTAACTGAAGTGGTTGGGATATGTATTAGGAATTCCGAACCAACGGCCTACTTCAACAGGTATTGTTTGTTGGTGTAAGAGCAAGCTGGAAGGTAGCATCAGTTCATCAAGTCAATGATCATTAGAACTGATGGGGCAGGACAAAGTAACTGTGAATAGCGATTGGACGCCTTATGTGATATATGTTTCAGGATTGATTATCATCGCCTAGAAGTGTTTATGTTTGTACATTTCTCCATTTAAGAATCATATTGAGAATGTTTACTGTCACCCTAACTTATTCTGATTTTTCTATTGTTACTCATGCTACATTTATTTCGTCGCGATAAGGTAACATATTATTTTGATAGGACAGTGAGAAGACGTGATCTGAAAAATGTTGTTACATATTTGCGCCCTAGACATTTCGAACAATCTGGTCACACACATGTACACTTGTCAAGGCATTTTATATGAAGATTAATAAAAGGGTCAATTAAAAAAAATTAATCAGAGAGAAGATTATCGTAATATAGGAAACTGTACTGACACATATACATATGCCACGTTCTATGCTGATTATGACTTCACTGTAGATTAAAAAATCAATATTAATTATTGACCAACTAAACAAATCCAACACTCAAAATGTCCTAGTATGGTGTGTGCTACTTATACGAACGATATAAGTAGTATAAGAAGGGACGTGAAAGAAGAAGTCGCACGGTCAGAAGAAGAAAACGGAAAGTAAATGGAGCAAAAGCAAGAAGTACATGGAGTACCAACAGGAACGGAAGGAAGCAACAACAGGAATGGAATAAGGATGGAGTGTTGGAAGTCAAGACTCAAAGATGGTGTGCACATAGAGTATTCAATGTAATGTTTTCGTTTTTAAACTGACTTAGAGTGTAAATTTCCATAATACAATCTTCCTCGCCTGCCTCAGTCTTCTCACTAGTACGGCAAAGAGTGAAGAGAGTTTGCTCGCACTCATCAAGTGCTAACGTGTGGCCAATGCATCTAAAGAAACTGCCGTTTTCACAGTGAAGAAATAAGAGGACGAAAAATGAGTGTTTGACTAAGGCTTAAACCTGGTTACGGGGTATGGAGAACCTATCTAGGGGAGTGGGAAAACTGATACACATCGACTCTATAATCTTGACAGAACACAACTGGCGTATGAACTTAAATTAAGTGACGACTGCATCGCCAAACGTTGCTACACACTGACGTGTGGATTAGACCTGTAGGTCAGAGATTCCGAGAATGGCTCCTTAAGAAAACCAAATGATTTGGTTTAGGCGTTCGAATAGTATCCCATATGAAATTATTTGTATTTTTCAAGCAAATTGATATGATCAAGTGAACAAAATCTATAAAGGAAAAAAAATACTTACACATTACCACCTCGCATTTCTTCAAACACTTTTGAATTCCCGACTGGGGCATTTGGACCTCTAAAACCAAAACAACAGAGTAGAACGGTTGGCTGAGTGTGTGTGTGTATACATGTTTAACAACAGGAGATCAAATAATAACAATCACAGAAAGAGTGATTATGAATGGTTAAAACACTGAAAGTTTTAAACTAGTAATGAGGTTATGGTGTTTTAATTAAACACTGATTCAGCTATTTTATTTTGAACAGTTGTTAAAGTATACAACAATCCTGTGTACACATTACCTTGAAAGGCAAATTATGTAAGCCTGGTTACATATTATGTGTATCAGTGATCTCATGATTTAAAGTAATATGGCTTTTATGACTAAACTGTTTATATTGTTTTAAACAGCCATATATGATTGTTGTTAGAGAAGTTAGTTAGATACAACGTAGAACTACGTATGTTCGTACATCAGTTCATGTTGAGATACCATATTAGCATAGAGATGTAATTGTCAATTCAAATCCCATAGTGATAAAGATAGTAGAGGTATTAATGGTAATGAAGAAGACTAGGGTTTGAAGTTATTATTCAAGAAGTATAATTCAGTGAGATAAATTTAGAAAGAGAAAGATAGAGATGATGAGGAATTCAGAAGATGAGAATTTGAGAAAGCACAACGAATGGATGCACTTGCGTCATTGCAAACGATTTTGAGACATGTCGTTCAAGGTCTCTAACCATTGGCGACTTACGTTTCGCGGACCCCAACCAGGTAGCCTACATCTACCAACATGAATCAGTCCCCTTGTCAGCTGACTTGCGAAACGGAAACAATGACATCAATCAATAGAAACGTAGAACTTCGTACGTACGTACATTAGTTCATGTTGCCATACCACATTAGAGCAGAGATGTAATTGTCAATTCAAATCCAATAGTAGTAGAGGTAGTAAAAGTATTAGCAGTAGTCGGAGAGGTTAGAATTAGAAGGTATTATTCAAGAAGTAGAATCTACTGAAATAAACTTAAAAAGAAAAAAATAAAGATGATGAAGAATTCAGAAAACTAGGTTTTAGAGAATACAAAGAATGAAGGCACCTACACCATTGCAAACGATTTTGAGCCATGTCATTCAAGGTCTCTAACCATCGGTGACCTTCATCTCGCAGACCCCAAAACCAGGTAGTCTACACCTATGAACATGACTCAGTCCATTTGTCAGTGACGTCATGGATTTCTGCCATGTTTTGGTCTAGTCGCTCCTAGCTTTCTTCCAACCTATTCCTACACCGCAAAATATAGCTCGACAGGGCAGTGAGTGGTTAGGCGTACGCAGCACATGTCCCAACCACAACTTGTCTAGGAAAAATCAAATGAACTGTATATCAATAGCAAGTGTGATTGTCCTAGAAAAGGAGCACAAGAACTCATACTTGGTTACAGAATTACATTCAATCGATTTAATATCTGATAAATCTTGTTATCGTGGTGACACAAAATGTTTCTGGCAAATCATCATTCGAGTCTCGCAATCATTGTGATAATCAAAAAGTCACTAGAACAATCAATAATAAGTTACTACTTAAAATGAAACTTAACTAAAGCAAAAGATTATTGTGAACAAACTTACTCTCTACGCCAAGGAGTTGAACCACCGGTGTCCATATCGGAATTTTTAAATCTAAACGAATTGGCAAGTAAATAAGACAAAATACAAAGATATATAATAAGATTGAAAGACAGGGGGGAATGAATCAAACTAAATGTAGAAAAATATTCAAAGTTTATTTAAAACGTCTAACATATAGTGAATGTTACATGAATTTATTTTTGAAATGATTAAGGAAGTAGGTGTACATTTATTGATATATACTACATATTTGTCGCTTAGTAAAGTCATATTGTTAACTATTACTTATTTACGCTTGTTATTCCCGGTAGAGCAGAGACAACCCATCATCATTCTCCAAGCTACGCTATCCTGCATCCTCTCTTTTCTAGTTTTATCCAATTTTTGTTAATTCATCTCATATCTGTCTCCGTTTCTCGGCGTAATGTGTTATTCAGTCTTCTTCTCCTCCTTTAGTATGGATGATTCCAAGTGAAGGCTCACCTTGTGACACAGTTGGGTGCCTTCCTCAATATGTGCCCGGTCGAATTCCAGAGATTTTCGCTGGAGTTTGGTTTGTTCTTTCCCACAGTAGGTTGTGTCTGATGGTGGCTGGTCAACAGATGAAGAGTAGACAACTTTGTGTGTTGATTGTGGTGGTGTTTCGTTCTCTGAGCTGGTTGATTTGGTTGTGGAGCTTTCATTGTTTTTCTGAACAACATCATCAGCACAAACTTCAGATAGAAGTGAAGCATTTGAATTTCTCCACGTTTGACCTATAACTTGTGTGTTGAGCCAGGTCATCTCATTAGATATGTCCAGTACATATGCCAGTCAACTCACATGGTAAAAATACATAGTTCGATAGACTCAACCTAGTATTCTACATCTAATCTCAGCTTTAATGAATGCTTATACCATTTTCAAGTGTTGCTTTGAATGATTCGGTCTCGTTAGCGTTTTTTTAGTACGTTGGTTTTCTACAGGATGGCAGTAACTGTAGAACGGATCCAGATGGATTTGATATAGGTATAACGACACAGATTGACAAATTAAGGGCACAATTTCTACATTTAAAAAAACATCTGCAACTCAAAACAACTGTCAACCGACACTAAAGTCACAATTTTCAGTATGAAGGTCAAAACAATTCTTTTGTATGGAGTGGAAACTTGAAGAACTGAGAAAGCCATCATCCTAACAACACAGGTGTTTATCAACAGTTGTCTACGCAAGGTACTCTCCTCATCATTCGTTGACCAGACACTGTCAGCAACAAACTATCGTGAGAGAGAACGAACCAGATTCAAGCACATTATACTGAGTCACAACTTGGAATCCTCAAGGCCGAAGGGAGAGTGGTAAACCGAAGAACACACTTCACCGAGAGTTGGTTGGAGAATATTGACCACAACCTACGCTCTATGACAGGTAACAGGTGTAAGTAAGTAAAATTGATGCCTTGAAGACAACTAGGATTAAACACTTAAAGTCCAAAGCAAAATACACTCAAACATGTTGAAATAATTTTGTCCACCGTAGCTGATTATCATGAATTGTTCGCTTACAATCGTCCATTGTAACAACACAACACAATCCACCCTTCAATAGAAGTAAGTGACGCTATCAATCGATAATTAATACTGGTCATCATATAAGGAACAGTATCAATCAGTTATATCACTTACGATCGATTGAATGAACTACCCATTGTACCACCACCTCGACCGAATGGTCTTGTTCGTTCAGTTTCTAGGAATTAATGAAAAGAGAAAATAGAGTAAAGAGAAATATAAAACAATTAGTCCCTTTTAAAAATATTGATAGAACAATGTGAAGACATAACTGATCAGATCAATTACGTCCTCTCACTGTTCTATCGAAAGATAAATACACTGATTGTTGAATAAAATAAAAAGTATCTACAATACAGATGATACTTCATATCAAAAAGGGAGAAATATTTCTGTATAAAAAGTCAGTCAGTTAGTCAGTTGCAACGTAAAAATCTTTGTACGTACGTACATCAATTCAAGGTTGCCATACAACGTTAGCACAGAGACGCAACTATCAGTTCAAATCCAAGAGTGGTGGAGTTAGTAGAAGTGTTAGTAGTAATGGAGAAGATTAGTGTTCGAAGATATTACTCAAAGAGTATAATCCAGTGAAATAAGTTTGAGAAGAGAAAGATAAAGGTCACGAGGAATTGAGAAGATTCGAATTTGAGACAACACAAAGTATGAGTGCACTTGCGCCATTGCAAAAGATTTTGAGCCATGTCGGTCAAGATCTCGAATCATCAGTTTCTTTCAATTCGCGGACCCCAACCAGGTAGCCTACATCTACCAACATTGATCAGTCCACTTGTCAGTGACTTCATGGATTTGTGCCATGTTTTGATCTGGCCAACCTTAACTTTCTTCCAACCTACTCCGATACCACAAAACAGCGCTCGTCAAGGCGTTCGATGGTTAGGCATACGCAACACATGTCCCAACCACCTTAACTGATGAAGTTTCAACACTTCATCTATTGATTCGCCATCCTTACTTAATACTCGTTTCCTAACGATGGCATTGCTTACTCGGTTGTCCTACGATACACCAGCAATGCTTCTAAGACATCTATGATCAACTACTAGTAACCCACGAATATCTTATACTCTTACCGACCATGTTTCGCATCCATATAAGAGAACGTAGCGAACTGCTGCGAATTAAACTCGTCCTTTGGTTAGCAAACGGATATCTCGCCAAGGCGCAAGTCGGCAAAAGCCAATCGAGCCTTCTGAATCCGTGCTGAGATTTCGTCAGTGACCAGGCCATCATAACTGATGAGACTCCCCAGAAAAGTGAAGCGGTCAACTCTTTCACCTGCTTCACAACCATAGTTTCATTTTTACTCTATTAGATACCGGCTCAGTGGTCTACAGATCACGTGTTCAATACCAAGCCGTAGATGCGCATGGTTAGGTAGTGCCCGGCACTAAAACAAAATGGCTGTCAAAAATTTGGATATTCGCAAAAAACTGAAAGGTTAATCATAAAAAAATAATACTACTCAACCGTTTATATCTATTGCAGATGACAAATACATTAATTTAAGTAAAATCACTGAAACAACACAGCAGGTCGATTCCATTAATCATGCGCACACGAGAGACGAAAGCTGGGCAAACCTCTACATTGGATGATAAACAGGATATAGTGAGTGTCTGTCTGTGTGCGTGTGTCTGTGTGACAGACAATTTCGGTTATTCAATTAGAATGATTCACAAAGATGAATTTATTTACACACAGTTTAATGGTTGTGAATTATTCAGATCAATTCAAAATAATCATGATTAAGGCGGATAATTAAAGATGATGAATTGAAACGGTCATAGTAATAATTTATACACAACTACAAATCAATAAAAAATGTTGTATAGCGGCTATAAGTGTACAGAATAATCGATATTTGGAAAGTGACAGGAGTTAGCATATTATTTTGTTTGTTTGTCGACTGTAGCTGATAACTTAACGTGGTGGTGGTGATCGGGCTGGACTATTGTGATTGTCCAACTATGTCCAGCTATGTCTGGAACACATGTTCCTTCAGGTTCTATCGTTCCAGGCTGGTCGTCGATTGGACTAAAAGCAGCTACTCAATGTTTAAGCATCTGAAGTAATGCTCTGCCTTCTCACAAAGAAGGAAAGGGTTAGAAAAGGTCAAACGTAAAAATATCACACCACCTTACATCACTGATTCCCGTCTCCTAGTGGTAAGGCCTTTTCAAGAGCGGAGCTAATATGTTGAAAACTTCCCATAAAAAGGCCATGCGTCATCGACCTAAAGCAGTTGTCCCTTGGGGTCTGCGGTTACGCGCCCAGATAGCTTAGAGCAACGCTAATTCGATTTTCTTTTCAAGTCCCTCAAGAAACACCCTTCCACGGTTTGGAGGGCCGGGAAGTGACATCCACCCTCATACTTGTAATAGCACATGAGACCAAATTGGTCATAATAACATAACATTACCTAAATATATTATACACCATACAAACGATTGAATTTGTGTGTGCGCTGCGATACTGTTCATGTGCTGAAACTAAAGCAGATGGTTTTGTGGTGGTGGTGTTTGGTTCTCTGAGCTGGGTGTTTTGGTTGTGGAGTTTTCATTGTTGTTCGTCTGAACAACACAATCAGCACAAACTTCAGATAGAAGTGAAGCATTTGAATTTTCCCACATTTGACCTGCAGCTTGCTCTGCTAACCTCGATCTTGATTGGTTGTTGTTGACCTTAAACCTGTTGTTGTTTGCACCTTTGTTTTGATTGTATCCCCCTTTTGATCTGTTTCCTGATCCTGTGTCACCTATGATTTTTCTGATTGATTGAGAAATTGGGTCAATGTCGATGTGTTTGTTCATTACTGATTGACCTGAGTGCCAAGCTTCTAAAAATTCCCTACTTTTCTTTGTCCTCCCCCTACCCAGTATTTCCACATTGTTCCAATCAAATGTGTATCCATAATTGTCGGTGTGCATTGATATAAGCGAAGTGTTGTCATGGCATTTGACTGCTAATTGGTGTTCACGTAAACGGAGCTGAAGAGGCCGTTCGAATGCTTCACTTCTATCTGAAGTTTGTGATGATGATGTTGTTCAGAAGAACAATGAAAGCTCCACAACCAAAACACCCAGCTCAGAGAACCAAACACCACCACCACCACAATCATCCACCTGAGCTACAAATCTTCTCCACCATCGCAGATGGTTTTCTTAGCCTACTATTCCGTACGCCTTTGACTAAGAAGTTTGACCCACAAGGCAGTGAAGAAGAGGCAGTTTCAGTCACCAAAAATAACATTTACAGAGGGATCTCCTCATTTATCCACTATTCACTGTGTGAACATTACAACACATGACAAGAATACAAGAATAAAATTCCAAAAAAACGATAATCAAAACAACTTACCTCGACGTGGTCCAACCTGAGTCCAACCACCAGCATTACCAGAATCATCATCATGTGAAAATGAATCGAATTCAGAAGCGATAGCTAGACACAAAAAAAGAATGTGTGAAAATTTGAACGTGGAAACGACAGCATAACATAAACACAATCATATACGTAATATAGATGATTACCTAACAAGACCGATCATTTATGAAGCGTGAAAAGAGAGAGAGAGAGAGTTAGGCGTTAGACTTACTCTTTCGTGGTCCACCTCGACTCCAAGTATCTTTCGAAGGATCGCTACGAAGCGGTGGTGTATTATCGAAACCAACTATATTGATTGGATGCATGCGAAGAGAAAATGAAAATTCATGTGTTAAAAAATGGAATTCATCATCGCATATGATGTAAATAATGTTAGTTTAGGGAAAATATGTGATTTACCTCGTTTACCACTTGACAACCGATTAAAATCTGATTGTTTCGATTGATCGTCACGTCGGTAGTCTAGAATGAAATGTGTTTTTTTACAAAAAAGAAAAGAACAATTTTTTAAAATTAATTTTGTGTAAATTTCCAAATAACGAAAGTATACTGCCTATGTTGTGTATAGGGGATAGTGAGCAGAAATTCCTTAGGTGTGTGATAAGTAGTCAGTGTATGTTTTAAATGTTTTAAACTAATTGTTATTGACTAATCCGTCACGCATTGCATGAAAGTAAAAACGATATTTACACTAAATGAACAAAATTTTCAGTCGATGGTTGCTTGTTTTTAGGATTTTTTTATGAGGAAAAAAAAATCAAAAACCCAACTTATACAAATGATCTGTAAATCATTCTATTCTATTCTATGTAATAACACAAAGGATAAGATATTTTGGATTCGCTGACTAGGCACTATCAGCAACAATGTATTGTAGGAAAGAACAAGCCAGATTCCACCAAAAGAAGAAATCAGGAAGAAGAGCTAGATGTGAATAGGATACACATTGAATAAGGTACCCAACTGCTTTACGAGACAAGCCCCCACCTTCCAGAATGTAGCTGCTACCTTGATGTGTTGGTTGCTGTAGCTTATTGAGATGACCCAAATGAGTAATATTGGCTGAAACATATGTTTGTTGATGTCCTGTCACGCCATGCAGGTTGATTGGAAAACGATCAGACTAATAGCAGGTACTCCAGGTATGAGGCGAAGTCGTACTGCTGACTGCAGAAGGGTGTGACATCAATAAGGGTGTTTCCCTCGGACAACCAGTATCTGCAGCGATGCTGCCTTCTCACAAGGAAGGGTTAGAAAAGGTTGGCCCTAAAAATGTTACACCACACCTTACCTCACGGATTTCCGTCTCCTGGCTCAGTGTGAGGATGTTTACCAACCGAAGACAATTAATAATGGTCGCGCAACAACGTGGACTGATACTTGATGAACATAAACACCGTCAGATGACATCGATCAAAATTTTTTTACAATGGCGCAGGTGCATCCATTCTTTGTCTTCTCTCAAATGCTAAACTTCTCAATTCTTCATCACCTTTATTTTTCTCTACTTAAATTATTTTACTGGATCATACTTCTCAAATAATATCTCCAAAACCTAATCTTCTCTATTACCGGTAAGACTTCTGTTAGCTGTACCACTATGAGCTTTGAATTTACAATTCCATCTTTCTGCGCATGCAGTATAGTAACTTGAACTGATGTACTTACGTACAAAGTTTTACGTTGTAGATGACTGACTGGAGCAACGTTGGGAGATGCACTCCCATCATAGTAGCTAATCACCAACAATAGGTTCGTAGGTCATTCGTTGCATCATGAACCTGGAGACCATATAAAAAGGCCGTGCGTGACCGGCCTCAAGCAGTTGTCCCCTAGGCTCTGCGGTCACGCACCCAGGTCTCTAAGACCAACACTAATCTACCTTCCCTTTCAGATCCCTCAAGAAACAACCTTCGATGGTGTGGGCAGCCGGGAAGTGACAACCACTATAATACCCGTAAAAGCACGAGAGACCGAATTAGTCAAAATCAAATCCTTCCAGTAACTTACCACGAAAAGCGTTACCAGCACTGGCAGGAATTTCCGATAGACGATTTCGACCAAAAGCACTAACTGATACAACAGCTTCATCTGCAACAAAAAGGGAATAAACAATGGATAAATCTATTTGATAGGTTTGTTTGAATTTTAAAAAGGAAATTTATTTTTTTCTAAAAAAAACTAAAACACCCTCACATACGTACGTGTATTATTGACATCAGGTTGGGATTTTCCAGGAGATAATGATGGTTCAGCTGTTTGAATAACTAAATTTTGTGCAATAAATTTTGAAAGATACACACATTTTATGTACGACATATGCATGATATGAACAGTGAAAATTATAAGTTTATGTATATAAATTTACATATATATGTCGGTCAGTTAACAACGACAACAACACCCTAGAACTTTGTACCTACATACATGAGTTCAAGTTGCCAGTCCACATTAATAAGGAGATGTAATTGTTACTTCATATGTGGGTGATTAAACAATGAAATTTTATCGGTAGCATCTATTTTTTTGTTACCTACGCAATGAAGTTGCTCACTCCATTATTTAATACTCGATACTTAAACTAGGCTCCGGAATGGCAGAAACCACAGCCGTGGTGCTCCAGGTGGAATAGATAGATTCAGAATGAATACTCTCGGTTAGTGGTGAATTAGAAAGATTGAATCAAGATTGATAAGTTGATTAGTGGTTTTCGATCATAGGTGTCTTCGAAGCATTGCTCGTATATCGTGGGACACCCGAGTGAGCAACGCTGTTATTAGGAATCTGGTGCTAGGTAAGAATGGCAGATCAATTGATGAAGTGGTGAAACTTCATCAGTTGAGGTGATTGAGACATGTGTTGCGTATGCCCAACCACCGACTGCCTCGTCGAGCTTTGTTTTGTAGTGTAGGAATGGGTTGGAAGGAAGTTAGGGGTGGCCAAACCAAAACATGGCAGAAATCCATGAAGTCATTGACATGTGGACTGAGCGATGTCAGTAGTTGTCGACTACCTCGTTAGGGACCGCGAGATGATAATAATCGATGGTAAGAGACCCTGAATGACATGGCTCAAAACCGTTTTCAGTGGTGCCGGTGCATTTATTCTTCGTGTTCTCTCAAATCCTAATCTTCTGGATTCTTCAACACCTCTAGTTTTGACTCTAAACAACATTGTTTGAGTATTACATAGAATCATATGAAACGACAACATATTAAACATCTTATTTTAGGGAGTGAATATTTTTGTTAATATACTTAACAGGAAACTATAAATTTCTAGGCGAACTGAGAGGTCGTGGTAAATATAAACACGAACGATTTTCTGCACAAACAGTCAATATGTTATTCATTTACAATGTAGAACTTCGGACGTACGCGAATTATTTGAAACTGCTATATCGTATTAGCACAAACATGAAATTGTCATTTCAAATTTTACAGTGGATGAGTTAGTAGAAATAAAGGTAATGAAGAAGTTTACGATTCGAAGATATTACTCAAGGAGTATAATCCAGTGAAATAAGTTTGAGAAGAGAACGATGAAGGTCACGAGGAATTCAGAAGATTAGGATTTGAGAGAACACAAAGTATGGATGGACCTATGTTACTGAAGACGATTTTCAGCCTTGTCAGTCAAGATCTCGAATCATCCGTTTCTTTCACTTCGCGGACCTCAACCAGGTAGTCAACATCTACCCAACATTGATCACTTCACTTGTAAGTGACTTCACAGATTCCTGCCATGTTTTGGTCTGGTCACCCCTAACTTTCTTCCAACCTATTTCTACACCACAAAACATCGCTTGTCGAAGCAGTAGGTGGTTAGGCACATGTAACACATGTAGTGAGCATCTCAACTGATGAAGATGCTCTACTACATCCATTGATTTGCCATTGGTTACTAGGTTATCCCAGGATACACGAGCAATGCCTTGGAGACACCTACGAATATCTTCTACTCTGACTGATTATGTTTCGAAGACATAAAGTAGGACAGAGAACTGCTGTGCAGTCCTGTCCTGTCCTTTGGTTGGTAGACGGATATCTCGCCTACGCCATAAATGATGCAAGTTTGCAAAAGCTGTATCCATGCTGAGATAATTTTATAAAATTGACTCTTGACAACTGATCACATCTGAACCAAAAAAATTTGTCACTTAAAACACCGTACAATACAAGTTCAAGTGATTTTTTTCTCTGTAATGTGATTGAAATCCCATAAAAGTAGATGTTAAAAATTAAACTAAAAATTAAAAGAAATGTTACCCTTTTTCTTAAATTTCATAAAAATAGAATATTAACAAATCAGTCCAAAATAATTAAAAAAAAACGAAGCATACATACAATTCCAACTAGCACGAAGATAAAAAAACACTAACCTTTTCTAATATCACCACGTATCCATGATTTGGCCTCTTCTTCACGTCGTGCAGCTTCACGTTCTGCTGCTTCTTTAGCTTCTATAATACAAGCCAACAATAATGATCATCATCAACAACAATGGATAACTGAATAGTATAATGACTTGAATTTATAACCTATAATCGAATACTTGGAGCCTACAAATATCCTCCAATTCTACTGGCTATGTTTCCCATCCACAAAGTAGGACTGAGTGAATTGCTGTACAGTAAACTCGTTAACAGATGAATATCTCACCTAGGGCATAAGTGAGTCAAATTGGCAAAAACCAATTGATCTTTTCGTATTCGTGCTGAGATTTCGTCAGTCACCAGGCCATCAGAGCTAATGAGACTCTCACGATAAGTGAGACGGTCAACAAGCTCAACTACTTCACTCCATATCACTAGTTCAGATGCCAATACAAGACAATCCTAAAGCAACATTTCGCATTTGGAGGGGGAGAACCACATCCCGAACATGCTTGCATTGTTGCTTAGGGTGGTCAGAAGACTGTGGTGGTGTTTTGTTCTCTGAGCTGGTTGTTTTGGTTGTGGAGCTTTCATTGTTCTTCTGAACAACATCATCAGCACGAACTTCAGATAGAAGTGAAGCATTAGAATTTCTGCACATTTGACCTGTAGCTTGTTCTGCTAACCTCGATCTTGATTGGTTGTTGTTGACCTTTGAGCTGTCGTTGTTTGCAAATATGTTTTGATTGCCTCCCCATTTTGATCTGTTTCTTGATCCTGTGTCACCTATGATTTTCCTGATTGGTTGATAAATTGGGTCAATGTCGATGTGTTTGTTGATTGCTAATTGACCTGAGTGCCAAGCTTCTAAAAATTCTCTAGTGTTCTTTGTCCTCCCCCTACCCAGTATTTCCACGTTGTTCCAATCAAATGTGTGTCCATAATTGTCGGTGTGTATTGATATCAGCGAAGCGTTGTCGTGGCGTTTGACTGCTAATTGATGTTCACGTAAACGGAGCTGAAGAGGTCGTCCACTTTGTCCTATGTAGTGTTTTTCACAATTTGAGCAATTTATTTTGTAGATGATATTTGGTTTTTCTTCCTTTGTCATTTCGTCCTTTGGTCTACATAGGATTGACTGAAGTGATTCCGTTGGTTTGTGTGCCACACCTATTCCAAATGGTTTCAGTAGTCGTGCCGTATGCTCTGATATGTCTTTGATGTATGGTTGGATGATGCGTTTATTTGTTCCTGTGCTTGATTTCACTCCTGATGATAGTTTTGGTTGATGTTTTTTGATGAATTTGCGTGGATAGCCGTTCTTTTGGAAGATAGTCATCAGATGTTTTTCCTCGTTTTTTAATGTTTCGTATGTGCTGCAGTGTGTCTTCGCTCTCTTGAACAGAGTTTGTATGCAGTTAATCTTGTGGGTTCTTGGGTTGTTACTGTCGTAGTTGAGAATTACGTCGGTGTGGGTTGGCTTCCGAAATACTTGAGTTTCTAGTTTTCCTGTGTTAGTTCTAGACACACATTTAATTGGAACAACGTGGAAATACTAGGTAGGGGGAGGACAAAGAACACTAGAGAATTTTTAGAAGCTTGGCACTCAGGTCAATTAGCAACCAACAAACACATCGACATTGACCCAATTTATCAACCAATCAGGAAAATCATAGGTGACACTAGATCAAGAAACAGATCAAAAGAGGGAGGCAATCAAAACATATTTGCAAACAACGACAGCTCAAAGGTCAACAACAACCAATCAAGATCGAGGTTAGCAGAACAAGCTACAGGTCAAATGTGCAGAAATTCTAATGCTTCACTTCTATCTGAAGTTCGTGCTGATGATGTTGTTCAGAAGAACAATGAAAGCTCCACAACCAAAACAACCAGCTCAGAGAACAAAACACCACCACAATCATTCACCTGAGCTACAAGTTTTCTCCACCATCTCATGGTCAGAAGACTCTATATTTTGTCAGCGTCTTCACTAAATAAAACTATAACATTGGCGTTTCTTAAGTCAACAAGCAAATATCCTGGTAAACGTTCAACTCTTAAAAAAAGTCAGATGAGAATATCCTGATTATTTCAATTTATCGCCCAACTGATTTGATAAGAGTATAGTGGATCTATGAAGGTATTTTGTAAATAAATATAAAACAGTAAAAAATGAACAATCTTTTCTCAGACACAAATTAGCCAGTTGCACAAAGAATATTATAATATATTGACTGAATATTTAAAAAGACTTCTAAGGTACAGATCAGGTGTCTTCAAAATCCTGATGGGTCAACGGCTACTAAGGAGACTGCACTTGATAATGTTGCTCTCTTGCCTTGTGTAATAGATCCGTTGGTGAAGAAGACTCAAGGAATCAGACTGTAAGAAAACCACCCAAGTAATAGTAGTTCATTTCATTCAAAATGTCATACATATTTAAATGTACTTTTGTGTCAATATGTATGTTTGTGTTTGAAATTATGAATCAACCAATCTATAACCTAGCAAGCACCAATAAAACACAAGACCTTCGATCTCGCTTGCGATCGCTTAGCCTCTAGACACCTGAGCAGGCATCCAACGGTGTTTATGTCTAGGTTTAATCAACCTACAATGATATTGCGGAACCTCACTGATTATATCTTCGGCAATTACTGTCTACACCCGAATAGGGTTGAACTTGACTGCTAACGACTTTTCACTAGAACTCGGAGAAACACAATAAACACATAAATATTGGTACAAAAGGGCACCTAAATATAATAATACGCCACCACATGCCTAACTCTCCCCCTTTATCCTAGCTTGGGATGGGGAAGCAACCATAGAAGGGGTCCAGGCTCCACTTATTCATATCATTAATGAGGAGTTTTTATTCATGTGTTTAACCGTTTATCTCTGTTATTTTATTGACAACTTGGACAATATGAATCGGCTTAATTCACAATTAATAGCTACATCGATCTATACACATGGTGAAATCGTAATTCATATTTTAACCCTGATAAGAATAATTATAGTAGATGTGTTCAAGTCGGATGGTGATCAGTAATACAATGTCCTAAGGGGTAAAACACGCAAACGATCTGAGAACATAAAATACACCAAACGGGTTTCAATAAAAATGGCAAACTGACCTTGTTCACGTTTTTGACGTTCCGCTTCTTCAGCTAGTTCACGTTGTCTTTGTTCTTCACGTTCTATAGCTTCTTGTTCAGCTCGACGACGTGCCTCCGCTTCTAATTCAGCTTCATGTTTAGCTCTTCTTTCAGCTAATCTTTCCGATCGTGTTTGATCACACAAAGCTTCCCATTCGGCTAGTTTAACTCGATAACGATTATCACGAGCTTCTTTTAATTGACTAACAAGACGCTAGAAATGTATAACAGTAAATGATTATGTATAAGTAACATTCATCACAGAAATTGAAAATAATTTTTTTATGATACAATGTGTCGAAAGTTTTTTATCAGGATATAAATTAGATTAAAGCATGTTCAACGTAGGATTATGTTGGAACATACTGAATGGCGCATTCTTAGACAATTAACGCTAGCAAGGTTCTACGTTGCAACTGACTGAATGAACGCTAGCAAGGGAATCGATGTAATGCAGTAGAAATGATATATAAAAAGATTAAGTTTTGAACGTCTGATTCCAAAGAGTAAAGTATTTAGAATATGATTTCTAAAGACATTGGAAATGCTAATATTAAAGGATCCAGGGACTCAAAACCCAGAGTAACAATAAGGACAACGTGCACAACTGCGTCATTGTGACTGATTTTTGAGTCATGTCAACTAATCTCTAACCATTGATTACGATAACCGTACGAAACTTAACCATGTAGTTTGCATCTACATACATGGTTCAGTTTAGTTAGCAATCACTTAATGTATTAACGATAAGTTTTGAATTGGAGGTCTCTAGCTTTTATTCAGCCAACAGCCTACACCAGAAATCGCTCAGTGAGGTTGGATGTGGTTGGGCACACATTACACATGTTCTAACTGCCTCAGTTGATGAAGATGCACTACTTCATCAACCAATTCACCGTCACCCATTACTCTACGTCGAACTTCAGAAAATTTCACTTACTCAATGGTCCCAATTATATGCAAGCAGAATTTTAAAGAGACTGACGATCAAACACAAATATTCTTCAGATCGACAGACAGACAGATGCAACGTAGAACTTCGTACGTAAGTACATCAGTTCATGTTGCCATACCACATCAGCACAGAGATGTAATTGTCAATTCAAATCCAATAGTAGAAGAGGTTGTAAAGGTATTAGAAGTAATCGGAGAGGTTAGGATGAGAAGATATTATTCATGAAGTATGATTAAATGAGAAAAGTTTAGAAAGTCAAAACTAGAGGTGTTGAAGAACCCAGAAGATTAGGATTTGAGAGAACACGAAGAATAAATGCACTGGCGCCATTGCGAACGATTTTGAGCCATGTCATTCAAGGTCTCTAACCATCCATTATTATCATCTCGCGGACCCCAACCAGGTAGTCCACAATTACCGACATGGCTAAGTCCACTCGTCAATGACTTCATGGATTTCTGCCATGTTTTGGTCTGGCCGCCCCTAACTTTCTTCCAACCTACTCCTACACAACAAAACAAGGCTCGCCGAGGCAGTCGGTAGTTAGGCATACGCACCACATATCCCAACCACCTCAATTGATGAAGTTTCACCACTTCATCAATTGATCTGCCATCCTTACCTAGTACTCGTTTCCTAACGATAGCATTGCTTACTCGGTTGTCCCACGGTATACGAGCAATGCTTCGAAAACACCTATGATCGAAAACCAGTAACCTACGAATATCTTCTACTCTCATTGGCCATGTTTCACAGCCATATAGGAGAACGGAGCGAACTGCTGCACAGTACACTCGTCCTTTAGTCAGCAAACGGATATCTCGCCTACGCCATAAGTGACGCAGGTTGGCAAAAGCCAATCGAACCTTCTGTATCCGAGCTGAGATTTTGTCAGTCACCAGGCCATTAGCACTGATCAGACTCCCCAGATAAGTGAAGTGGTATACACGTTCGACTACTTCACTCCCTATCACTAGTTCAGGTGCCGATGGAACCCAGTCTTGAAGCAACATTTTGCATTTCGAGGGGGAAAACCGCATCCCGAATATGCTTGCATTATTGCTTAGGGTAGTCAGAAGACTCTGCATTTTGTCAGCATCTTCGCCAAGTAGGACAATGTCATCGGCATATTCTAAGTCAATAAGCGAGCCACCTGGTAGAAGGTCTACTCCAGAAAATTCAGACGAGGATAAGGTTATTTTAGATATCTTTCATTTCAATGTTATATTTCACAGTCATGCTATGATTATCCCAGGATAAACGATCAGTATTTCGAATACTAGTAATCAACGAATATCCTCTACTCTTAATGGCCATATTCCACAGCCGTAAAGTAGGACGTAGCGAACTGATGCGCAGTAAACAAACCCACTGATTGGTAAATAGATGTCTTGACTACGCTATGAATGGTGTAACGCTAGCGAAATCTAGTCAAGCCTTCTGTATATGTCTTGATATTTCGTCACACACCAGAATTGATAAAACTCTCAAGATAAATGAAGCGGTCAACATGCGCAGCTACAAAAAAAAAACAAAAACGTACAACCAGTCAAAATGGAATCTACCTGAACATCGGGTTTCATTCGAATTAATCGATTGCGTTCTTTCAACAGTCGTGTATGTTCAGCTTTTGAAAGTTCTTCAATTTCTCGAACACTTTGTTCAAATAATTGACGTGATTCCATAGCTTCTGGTTCAATGTTTGCTTGTAGTAGGGGAATTTCTTCAATACGACATGCACGTGTATAATAGTCTAATTTTTTTGCCATTGTTTTAGCTTTTTCAGCTAATTCTTTACGTTTTTTCTTTACTTCTTGTTTCTGAATGATGGGGAGGAGAGAAAAAAAAGCGGAGAACGATTACAAAATACAGTTTGTTTTTATTCATGGTGTGGTGTGTGTTACTTATATACGAACGATATAAGTAGTATAAGAAGGGACGTGAAAGAAGAAGTCGCACGGTCAGAAGAGGAAAACGGAAATCGAATGGAGCAAAATGGAGCAAGAAGTAAATGGAGTACCAACAGGAAGTAAAGGAAGCAACAACAGGAATGGGAGAAGGATGGAGCGTTGGAAGTCACGACTCAAAGATGGTGTGCAAATAGAGTGTTCAATATAATGTTTTCGTTTTTAATTGACTAAGAGTGTAAATTTGCATAATACAATCTTCCGCGCCTGCCTCAGTCTTCTAAATGGTAATAAAATGATTAAAAAATGCAATTATTGTTGTTATTTATTTATTTAAATAAAAAGTCTAGTCACCGTTGAATTGGGATCATGCAGACAGACAGGTGGCAACTTTACTTGGGTGGAGTTTATGTGATTACTGTAAAATTAATAGTTAGAAGGATTTGAGTGACAACGGATTAAACTTAAATACCGTGCACGGACGACAGCTGACAAACTTGTTCGAAGTAAAGACCAGTGTCAGGTAAGGTTGCTTACTCTTTCTACTAATGATCAACCGGATTATGAAGACGTCAATATATGAACGAAAGAACGGGTTACAGTGAACAGGTGGGATGCAACTAGACGATGTGGACTTCGCAAATGATCTGGCTCTTATATCGCTTACACAACAACAAATGTAAGAGAAGACGATCGGTGTAACAGTAGGTCTCAACATACACAAAGGAAAAAGTAATATTTTCCGATACAACACAACATGCACCAACCAAATGTGACTTAACGGTGAGGCTTTGAAGGATGTAGCAACTTTCACATATCTGGCCAGCATTATTGATGATCAAGGTGGATCTGGTGCAGATGTAAAGGTGCGGATCGGGTAGACAAGGGCAGCATTTCTACAAATCAAAAACGTCAGCAACTCAAAACAACTATCAAGCAACACCAAAATCAGAATTTTAACTACTATATGGAGCGATAACTTGAAAAAATACGAAAGCGAATATCTCGAAGACACAAGTGTTTATCAACAGTTCTCTACACAAGATACTTCGGATGCATTGGTCAAACATTATCAGCAACAGCCTAGTGTGGGACAAAACAAACCAGATTCCAGCGGAGGAAGTTATCTGAAAGAAGCACTGGAAGTGGATAGGAAACACATTGAGGAAAACAGCCAACTGCGTCACAAGACAAGCCCCTCACTTGGAATCCTCAAGGCCAAAAGAGAAAAGGAAGACCTAAAGAACACATTACGTCGACAATCGGAAGCAGATATGAGATGAATAAACAACAATTGGACAGAACTGGAAAGGAAAGTCCAGGAGGACAGAGTAGGTTGAAGAATGCTGGTTGGCTACCTATGTTCCATTGAGGGTAAAAGGAGTGGGTAATTAAGTAAGAATTTGAGTGACATGGATCAAAACTGTAATTCTTTTAAAAGTTTAACTAATTCATGTTTTCATTTTGAATCGTATATTTGATACTTGATCGTTTCTGTTGCTGTTAATAGAACCTCTATTACCGTGGGGTTTCCTAAATAGGTTATGGTGACTTAAACCGCATGCACCACGTTTTAAGCTGCTTATGCACTATTGACAAGTGTATTTGAATAACAAAAAGATTTTGGGAAAATATCATACGCTTGCTGCTACGATGTGATTACAAGCTAATCAAACTTTTGTCAATGATGTTTAAGATGAATAAAGTAAGGATAACCACCAGTGCTTTCCTCTAATTATAGTATTTTGGTCCCTTCTAACTGACTTATAGTTCCCTACTTTTTCGTGTGCTTTAAGGTCATGCCTTCGTTTTGCTAACTATGCATACTACGGTGCACTATTTGTACACTTCATCTTCCTGTAGCAGCTGATAGCTATTTACATTGTACGTAAGATGTATAGTTCGCTCCAATTCAGTTTTGTTCTAAAACGTACGTACTAAAAGATTCACAATTGTTCATTAACAAAATTTATCGTTAGCCAACTAAAAATCCTAAACGTAAGCGAAATCAGTAGTCGAGAAAGGAGGGGAGAATTTAGGCATTTCCAATTACAATTTGAATAAAGTGCCATTGATTAGAAAAGTAGGATCTAAGAAAAGACAATGGGTGCATGAAACTACACTACTGTGAACGATTATGAGTTGTGTTATTGAAGATCGCAAACCAGTAATGATGATTACACTGACACTAACTAATTAGGTAGTCTAAATTTACCAACAGAGTTCACTGGAACAGCCAGTGATTTTCCATGGCCTTAATTACGCACTAAGAAGCATCTGACACACATGATATTAGTCACTATCCAGTGATCTCTGTCGAATAGGAGGATAATCGTGACCGAGATAGCTCAGTGATAACTTTTCTGACTGTGAAACTGGTTGGCATGAGATCGAATCCATTAGGGAGCAGATACACTTTCGTCCATCGCCTCACATTTCAACATAGTGCACGAGACGTCAAGTTACTTAAATTAATGGTGACATTGCAAACAGGTCGATATAATTCGATCTACACTAAGAAGGTCATCATGACACATGAGATAGTGGTCGCTACCCAATGGATCAATCAATTGGTAAACAGTTAGCTCTTTACTAAAACCTACTACTACTACTCACATACCATCAAACATAGAGCATCGAAGTCGTCTATAGATGAGATTACGTAATACATATCCTAATTAGTTCAGTTTATAGTTTGTTTGAATATTGACTGAATATCACAAAAAAAGGATATCAGTGTATTGATTAAACAATGTCAACACACTAAAAACTAACTGATCAGCAATAACAATAACAACCACAATCGAAATACCGAAAATAAACATTGAGGTGCAATTGATTTGTCAAGAAATACATTTTACTAGCCCTGTACTTATTGAAATTCTATTTTGGACATTTTATTTTCAAACAACCACGGCTGTAAACACAATTCATATGTGAATAAATCATTGAACAAGAGAAAAATAGAGAAACTACACAACCTACTTGTTTATTGATAAGTTTATCAGCATCAAAGTTTTCCAATTGTTCTTCAGTTAATTCTTTCAAATCCAATTTTGTGTCGATTTTCAAATCTAAAAACATTTTCAAACTGGTACGTGCCATTCTTAGTTTAAGACGAGTTTTTTCATCTTCCGTTTTCATACGTTCACGTTGTATTGCTTCATTGGCTAAATTAGTTTCTTCTGCTTTTAATAAACGTTCTTGTTCAGCTTGACGTTTTGCTTCAACAATACTGTAGTACTAGAGTGAAATAAAGAACAAGATTTAAAAATTATTATTTTAGTGAAGATGAGCTAACTACTTACTCAAGCTGGAGCTTGTCTAGGGTTACTTCCGGCCCCAAGCCCGGAGAAAGGAGGGTTGGGCATTGGGGTTAGTGGCTCCATCCCATAGAAAAGTAACTCGTTAATAAAACGCGCTAACCAAAAAAATAATTCGCTGGGCGGCGACCTCCATTAGGGGTAACAGGCTTAAGTAAAAATGGTTATCAAACTAATATTATTTGAGAATAATAAAGTAGAAATGTTAGGATATTCACCAAATATCCTAAGAGTACTATTTTTGGAAGTATAATCCTATTGGTCGATTTCTATTGGTCAAAATTATGGTCGTTTTAACTGTCAAAGTCAAATAATTCAATGTTGTCTCTTATTGGTCATCCGGACTGTCAATGTCATTTCAAATGTTCTTTCCTATTCGACCTAAGTGTATAAATACGCACTATCTGTAAGCCTGCATGATTCGAATTCCGATTCCGTTTCTTCCTGCCTACCTCTCTTCTGTACTCGACCCAATAAACAACTCCATCCAACGGTGTTGCGTTCTGATATATATTGGAGATTTGGAAATAGCATTTTGGGTCGTATTGGAATATTTGAATTGGACGCTGCTAGGACTGAATAGCTATACGTAGCAGCATTATACCAGGAACATATCCAGATATTTTTTAGATTTGGGTGCTGTTCTTGAGTAACAGTCGTGTAAAATCCCATTTTGTATGTTCATGCCATAAAATAAGGTCGAATACGTCACTAAAGCCAACATTTTTTTGAGGGAGAATACAATGACTAAGCCTCCCTATGAATAAAGTCAGATTTCAAGGTGGTTACAAGAATGGGTAGCTCCAGAGGATGATTTTGTCATTGTAAATGAATAGGATTTGTGGAGAATGTATTATTTCCATGGTTGAAATCACAAATTGATCCTGAGTAGAGACTATCATTGGAAGCACTAGACAACTGTTTCGTTCATCCACCGAGTCAATCAATGGTCTAGCAGCGAGACCGAAAGTTGTGAGTTCGAATCCTGCTCGCGGCGTTGTAGATGCACACTCGCAATGAGTCCTATGCTAGGGAGGAACAGCCGTCTAATTAATGGTCGCAGGTTTCGAATATTAGAGTCTAGTCAGGATTATTTCTAGATTTCAAGTATGAAAAGAACATGCGTAAGATAAGTCAATCAGTCAGTCAGCTGCAATGTAGAACTTCGAACGTACATACGTACATCAGTTCAATTCGCCAGCATACCCCACACAAAATAAAAAGAAAACAAACTTACTTGATCTCGTTTACAATGATACGTTTCAATTTCTTCTTTTCGTGCTTCAATTAAACAACGTCGATTCAGTAATTCACTACGTATAGCTTTTTCATTTTTTCGATAATCATTTACAAGGGCACGTCGACAATTAGATAATGATTGGCCGACTTCTAGTATATCAGTGATTTGTTGCATCACTTGAGCAAACATTGTCAATTGACGAGACAATTTGTCGGGATCATTTACATGGGTTGACTGAAAGAATTGAGAAAAAAGAGAAAAGCTTATTTTGTTTTTTCTTAAAAGTAATCAAACGACATCATCAACACCGTTTACATATTCGAGGTGCTTGCGATTACATGAAACAAGTTAGAACAGTCTGTAAGATTTACTAAACAATTAGTCAGTCGGTCAGCTAAAACGAAGAACTTCGTACGTACTTATGCAAATCAGTTCATATTGCCATACCAGCCCGACTGTAGCTGCTACCTTGACGTGGTGGTCAGGCTTGACTATCGTCATGACCCGACCGAACTATATTGGTTGGAACATATGTTCCTGAAGGTTCTACCATGCCAGGCAGGTCGATTGGAGAACGATCAGACTAAAAGCAGCTACTCAAGGTCTGAGGACGAAGTCGTACTGCTGACTACTGCAAAGGGGTGTGACAACAATAAGGTGTTTCCCTCGGACAACCAGCATCTGCAGCGATGCTGCCTTCTCACAACGAAGGTAGGGTTAGAGAAGTTCGACCCTAAAAATGTCACACCTCAGCTTACCTCACGGATTTCCGTCTCCGGCGGTAAGGGTGCCCACTAAGGGCTTTCAAGAGCGGAGCTAATACTAAAGAAACCTTTCAAAAAAAGGCCATGCGTGACCGGCCTCAAGCAGTTGTCTCTTGGGCTCTGCGGTCACGCAAACAGGTCTCTAAGACCAACACTAATCTACCTTTCTTTTCAGGTCCCCCAAGAAACACACACGGTGTGAGCAGCCGGGAAGTGACAACCGCCCTCATACACGTACCAACACACGAGACCAAATTGGTCAAAATCAAATACCATCATTTTAGTACACAGAGATCAAAATGGTCAATTCAAATCCCATAGTAGAACATGTAGTGAAAGTATTACCGGTAATGGAGAAGATTAGGGTTCGAAGATGTTATTCAAGGAGCATAATCCAGTAAAACAAATTTGAGAAGAGAAAGATAAAGGTGATGAGGAATTCAAAAGATTAGAATTAGAGAGATCACAAAGAATGGATGCGCATGCGTTATTGCAAACGATTTTCAGCGATGTCATCCAAAGTCTCTAACAATCGGTTACTATTATCTCGCGAACGCTAACCAGATAGTTTATACTTACTATCATGACTCAATTCAGTTGTCAATGAGTCCATGGGTTTGTGCCATGTTTTGGCCTGGCCACCCCTAAATATCTTCCAACCTATCCCCCTACACCACAAAACATAGTTTGACGTGGGCAGTCAGTGGTTGGGCATTTGTAACATATGTTCCGACCGCCTCAACGGGCGAAGATGCACTACTTGATTAATTGATTTGCCATCCTTATATAGTACTCTTTAACATCAGGATTGATAACACCACCATTAATAAACATAAGTTTACAATAGCCAGAGAAACAAAAAGACTTCATTACTTAGTACTCGGTAAGAAACCCCATAATTTAAGTTTTGTGTTAATTGGTACTTGTGTTAACAAGGTGTACCTATAAGGTATGCATGAAACTGATAGTCTGAAATGGATTAATACTTGCATCTTTTAGTTTTATAATCTGAAACATGGCCAACGAGATAGTCGGGTCGCAAGTGACCATAAAATGATCAAGAAAAAGAGAGAATCAAGAAGTCAGTCAGTCAGTTGCAACGTAGAACTTCGTACGTATGTACATATGTTCATGTTGCCATACCACATTAGCACACAGACGCAAATGTCAAATCAATCCCATAGTCACAAAGATAGTAGAGGTATTAATGGTAATGAAGAAGACTAGGGTTTGAAGATATTATTCAAGAAGTATGATTCAGTGAGATAAGTTTAGAAAGACAAAACTAGAGGGGTTGAAGAATCCAGAAGATTAGGATTTGAGAGAGCACAACGAATGGATGCACTTGCGCCATTGCAAACGATTTTGAGCCATGTCGTTCAAGGTCTCTAACCATTGGCGACTTTCGTCTCACGGACACCAACCAGGTAGCCTACATCTACCAACATGACTCAGTCCACTTGTCAGTGACTTCATAGATTTGTGCCATGTTTCGGTCTGGCCGCCCCTAACTTTCTTTCAACCCATTCCTACACAACAAAACATCACTTGTCGAGGCAGTCGGTAGTTAGGCATACGCAGCACATGTCCCAACCACCTCAACTGATGAAGTTTCACTACTTCATCAATTGATGCGCCATTCTTACCTAGCACCCTTTTCCTAATAACAGCGTTATTCACTCAAAATCATTAAAAAAAGATTGTTGTGAAACTGACAGTTATAAAATTTAAAAAAGAATACCTGTGATACTAACTGTCCACCATATTCACATTGACTTATGCCTAAATCAGTGAATTTATCAAAAAATATCGCTTGTTGTAAATGATTCACACGTATAGGTAATTCTAAATTATGAATTAATTCAATCACAATTCTTTCCAATCGAATCGGTTCCATAAATGGACACAATTTAACAAATTCATCAAAATTCAGACTTTGATAAACTTGTGATAATTGTAACAATGTTTTGGCTACAATTACATCATGCAATTGCGTAATGTACACTTGAAGATTTGCCGTAGTAGTCATATGTGCAAGTGCTGGTTGAACAAGTTCCCATAGTTTCAATGGTTGAAAATCTGCTTCTAACACTTGATACAATTTAGCCAAATTCAATGGAACAACTGTGTGTACTTTATGCCGTACTAGATCACGTATTAAACTTTGACGAGTTGGTACTTGAATAAGACCTAGAAAAAATTTTTTGTCAAATGTTACAATTAATTATTGAGAACAAAAAGTTACCTAAAAGTCCAGCAAGTGTTTTCTGTTTCATAATAGTATATTCACCAGATAGAAATTTATCCGCATTCACTTTAGCATTCGGCAGTGGGATAGCTACAGTGGCACAAAGTACACGTGATCCAATATTCGATAATTCTTCACGTGTCAAATTCTTTTTTTGATCACGATATAATGTATAAAGTTTGTGTAATGCAGCTGCATGATATAAATGACTACCGCATCGTCGAAATAGTTCCGCTGTTTTTGAATAATAATTAGTCATTAATGAAGGCATAGCATGGATACGTGAAATCATCATAAAACTCCAAATATCTTCAACTGTTTTAAATGCTTCATTATACATATCTAATTCCATAGCACAATCTAATTGTCTTAATCTTGTCTCCAAATGTAATGTTTGTGTTTCGGCATTGTTTAAATTAATAGCATTCGGTGCATTCGGTTGTGGTTGATTTTGAACTTTTTGTGTATGTTGTCGAATCTTTAATAAAATAAATGGATAGATTAGGCTATAAAACAAACAAAGCAACACCTACCAATTCACAGAGTTTTTTGAATTCAGTTTTTCGACCAAACTTTAAACAAAAGTTATAAGCTATAAAGAGTAAAAGAATGATTGATTAACTCAATGTTGCACATAAAACACTACTTACCATCATGAGCTACTTCATGATATAATTTTTCTAATTTAGAATTACTACGCAATAAATCTAACACTAGACGATAAGAATCCCATAGAAATTTCAACCATGGCATTAGAATTGTTCTTGCAGATCGATCTTGTGTACCTTCCATACTGACTGCATTCAACATGAGACTAAATAATAAAGGAAGGAAATGATTAAAACAAGCATATTATATATTCATCATTATGTAGAGCATGCAGGAGAAAGTTTATTCTTTGATAAATTGAATTTACAACTAGTAATAAAAAACCGAAAAATAAACAGTTTTTTGGTCAACATCCAATCATTGAATCGTATGAGAAAATGCAAGTTTTTCAGAGTCGGTCAGTCAGTTAGTTACAAGGTAGAACTTCGTACGTAAGTACATCAGTGTACATCAGTTCAAGAAGCAATACCACATTAGCACAAAGATGTAACTGTCACGTCAAATCCCATAGTGGTAGTGATAGTAGAGGTATTACTGGTAATGGAGAAGATTAGGGTTCTAAGATATTATTCAAGAAGTATAATTCAGTGAGATAAATTTAGAAGGAGGAAGGTAGAGGTGACGTCGAATTCAGATTAGAATTTCATAGAACACAACGAGCGGATGCACCTACGCCATTACAAGCGATTTTGAGTCATGTTGTTCAAAGTCTCTAACCATTGGTGACTTACGTCTCGTGGACCCCAACCAGGTAGTCTACATCCACCAACATGACTCAGTCCACTAGTCAGTGATTTCAAGGATTTCCGCCATGTTTTGGTTTGACCACCTTAGCATTCTTCCAACTTACTCCAGCACCACAAAATATTGCTCGTCGAGGCAGTCGCTGGTCAGGCATTCGTAACACATGTCCTCAACTGAGGAAGTTTCACTACTTCATCTATTGATCTGCCATCCTTACCTAGTACTCGTCTCCTAACGATAGCATTGCTTACTTGGTTGTCCCACGCTATACGAGCAATGCTTTTTAACATCTATGATCGAATACTAGTAACCTACGAATATATTCCACTCTTAATGGCCCCCCAACCAGGTAGCCTACATCTACCGACAAGACTCAGTCCACTTGTCAGTGACGTCATGGATTTCTGCCATGTTTTAGTTTGACCGCCCTAGCATTCTTCCAAATTACTCCAACACCACAAAACATTGCTCGTCAAGGCAAGTTTTAGAAGTAAATACTTATTACTACTACCAAAATATTATACTAAGTTCAAAGTCGTATACTAGATTTTAGGCCACACTAAGTGAGGGATAATGATGCTACCTGGTTGTCTAAACCTATGTAGGTGGACAGGAGCTCAAACCTTGCAACCTAGAGGCTGAAAGTAAAATTCCTTAATCAATGAGCCAATGCTTCCAAATAACGAATACAGTATACTAACGTTTAAATAACTTGATTACATCACAAACACCATCCATTAGAGTAACAAACAAACTGTATAAGATCAATGATCAGTATTCATTGAAACCAATTCAGTCAAGATAATCTCTCTTTGAGATACACGATCGACTTACACAATTAACATGACGGCCATTAAGAGATGTGTATAGAAAAAACAGTTCTACATTAGGCATAACTAAACCGAGTGGATCAAGTGTAACGAAATAGTTTCTCGAAGTCATGTTACTGATTAGGGAATGATTTGGACAAAGTATCTTCGCCAAAGTTAGGATGATTATAATAGCATGGAAGCCCAGTGGTTGGGGAGAATTAAAACTTTCCACACCATATCGCTACTTTGCCTGGAGATTAGTCGCAAGCCCCAATAAAGGTGGAGGGTTGGGCATGAGGTTAGCCAACTAACTCGCTAAAAAAACGCTGAACAGAAAAATACCCTAGTGACCGGATCATGGATAACCAATAATGAGGATTATCATACTAAGTCAAAACGGCTATATTCATTACGTCTTCGTTTTAAATGATTGTTTCTTAAACTTAATTGTTCAATTTTTTCAACTTGTGTAGGTCAGTGATACTAGATAGTTGCCTAATTCAGAGTAAATATAACTGGCTCTGAAAATGTAACCAATCAATTACAAGCTGAATGCTTTCAGCTACTAACCTACCGCCAAACTTATAACTGTCAGTCGCTAAATGGATTGTAATACAGTCTGTTTTGGTTTGATGTAACATAAATTGGTATTAACCACCAAATTCTCAAAACATTGTTTGGTTCCCTACCGATACAAATAATCAACAAGCATATAAAAATCTGAAATCATCAATCAATCATTGTTATACTACCATTAGAATCATGGAAGTACTGGACGGCCGTTTCGTCCCGGTATGGGACTAATCAGCAGTGCGCATCCACGACTCCTGCACCTCGCAGGATTCGAACCCGGGACCTTCGGTATTGTGCGCGAACGCCTAACCATTGGACCACTGGGCCGGCATCCAACGGTGTTAATGTCTAACTCTGATTGATCTAGGGATTTCGCGCGACCTCACCCATTTGTCTTTGGTAGTAGTTACTGCCTACACTCGACAGGGTTGAACTCTATTGGTCACGTCTTCGCAACTAGAACTCCGAGAATTTCCTCACGAAGCTGTGTCACTAGCGAGCACATGTTACGATATTTTCAATTTGCGCACAATACCGAAGGTCCCGGGTTCGAATTCTGCGAGGTTCAGGAGCCGTGGATGCGCACTGCTGATGAGTCCCATACCAGGACGAAACGGCCGTCCAGATCTTCCAGGTTTCCAATGGTGGTCTAACAATGATTGATTGATGACTTTAAATGTGTAAAAACACAAATCTCCATAACTCTAACTGAAAATATCATACAAAAATCAATAAGTGAGTTTATTAAACATTGAAAACACATAAGAACAATGAATGATTGAATGCCCCATAATCTCTTACACACATACATACCTTTCTGGAGTTTCTAATATATCTAAATCTTCAATTTCCATAATAGCACTTTTTGATACTTCTTGTGCTTCTTCTGTTTTACTTTTAATTTGATTTAAATAGTAACGTATAACTTGTTCAAGTGAAATTGTATTTTCCTAATCATCACGCATTATTATGAAAAGAAGTGAAAAGGATAAATTTACCGTGACACTCATACTTTTATAATGATAAATTGCTTTTCTAAAATGCATATTCTTACGAAGTTCCACGCAAAGTTCCACAAACAACATCATTAATTCTTCCAACACTTTTTGCCATTGTTTAGGTCGACGAACACGCATCACTTCGTATAGAATTTCTAAAGCATTTGCTTTTTTGTCACATTTTATAAGTTCTATGAAATGAAAAAAGAAAAGTTGAGTTAAATAATGTAAATAGTGCACTTCAAAATTGGATACGTTGAAAGGTCAACATCAAATCCTTCCTACACCCCCTAACACCTCTCTTATCTCTACGACTAATTCTACTCACTGCACCGCTACTCTAAACGATGCGAGTTTAAGAAACGTTATTCCTGGTCTCCTGAAACCTAGCTCTAGACTACATGTTGAAGCATTTAATGTACGGACATTGTGTCAAATAAGGCAACAGGCTTTATTAGCTAGGACTTTAGAATCTCGCGCCATCGATGTATGCTGCGTCTCCGAAACGCGCATACAAGATCCTAGTAAAGTCATTAATTTGACTTCGCCGTGTCAAAATAAAGAAGCAACTCGATTTACTCTTCGTGTATCCGGTAGCCCTGATGCTGCTTCCAGGGGTCTCGCTGGTGTAGGTATAGCACTGATTCGTAGAGCTGAACTCTCTCATAGACCAGATTCCAATAGATAGTTGCTTGTGCACTGTCCGACGGAACGGAACAGTAAGGACTTAGAAAGATAGGGACACTCGTTGTTACCTCTTCTTCATATCTGCCTACGCTCCCACTGACTGCAGTTCAGACGAGGTCATTGACAAGTGGACTGAACCATGTCGGTAGTTGTCGACTACCTGGTTGGGGTCCACGAGATGACAATAATCAATGGTTAGATACCCTGAATGACATGGCTCAAAACCGTTTGCAATGGCGCCAGTGCATTTATTCTTTGTGTTCTCTCAAATCCTTAACCTTTTGATTCTTCATCACTTTATCTTCATTTTTTCAAGTCTATTTCACTAGATTCTACTTCTTGAATAATATCTGCTAATCCTAACCTCTCCGACTACTACTAATACCTTTACTACCTCTACTACTATTGGATTTGAATTGACAATTACGTCTCTGTGCTAACGCGGTGTGGCAACATGAACTGATATACGCACATACGAAGTTCTACGTTGCTATTGATTGATTGAAAGGAATAGTGTAAGTGATATTAAGCTTTTATTGACCAAGTTGTTAAACCTAGAAATCACATAATAGTTCATGCCAAGGCCTATGAACATATATCTTAACGTGTTTAGGATAATTAGGGTTCAAAAAAAAGTACGCAGCCATTCAGTTACAACACAGAACTTGACTTATAGGTACATCAGTTCAAGCTGACAGTTCAAATCTCACAGTAGTAGAAGTTTTAGAAGTATTAACGAAGATAAGAAAGATCAGGGGTACAGGGAACCATTCGAGAGGGATAATATAGTAAAATAAATAGAAAAGGTAAAAATGGTCATGAGAATATTAGCATGTGCGAAAAGATGAAGAATAAATGGGATTGTTCCATTGCAACCGATTCTGAGCTGTGTCATTCAGTCTCCGGTCACTGGTTACAATTTTCACGCAGACACCAATCAATTACTCTAAACTTATTAACATGGCTTAACCTGATTGCAATGACTTTATAGACTTTTGTCATGTTTTTTTTAGCCGTTCTTCGTTTTTTTTATCCTACTACTACTACTATTACACTAAACAGCAACTCCCGTCAAGGCAGTCGGTAGTAGAACATACGTAACACATATATACACGAACTTAATTGATAGGGATTTACTACTTCACCGATTGACCTGACATGCTCACTTGGTACCCTAATCCTGACCCCGACATTTTTTGCTCAGTGGTGCCATGATATACGAGCAATGTTTCGAAGACACATAAGATCGAATAATAAGAACCTACGAATGTCAGCACTCTTACGGACTGCGTTTCACAATCATATAGTAGAACGAAGCAGACTACTGCAGATAAAACTCATCCTTCGTTCAGCAGACGGATATCTTGCCTACACCATAAATGACTCGAGTTGACAAATGCCAATCGATTCTTCCGTATCCATGATGAGATTTATTTAGTCCGACACCAGGCCATCAATGATAGGACTACCAAGATAAGTAAGGCGGTCAACACGCTTTACTGCTTTACTCCCGATAACTAATCCAGGGGCCAGCGCAAGCAACATTTTTGGTTTCAACGGGGAGAATCTCATCCCGAATATAATATTGTTGCTGTAGGGGGTCGGAAGACTGTCCTTTGTCAGTCTTCACCAAACAGAACCATCTCACAATCATTAGGTCTGACGTTAAAGTGCATATAATAATATATAAGGATGTTAGTTACAACGTAGAACTTCGTACATGAGTACATAAGTTCATGTTGCTATACCAAAATAACACAGATATGCGACTGTCAGTTCAAATTCCATAGTGGCGGATATAGTAGAAGTATTAGCGGTAATGGAGAAGATTAGGGCTAGAAGGTATGATTCAAGAAGTATAATTCAGGGAGATAAATTTAGAAAGAGTAAGATAGAGATGATGAGAAATTCTGAAGAACAGAATTTGATAGAACACAAAGAATAAATGCACCGGCGCCATTGCAAAGGATTCTGAGCCATGTCGTTCAATATCTGTAACCATCGGTGTATTTCATCCCGCGGACCCCAACCAGGTAGCCCACATCTTCCAACATGACTCAGTCCACTTGTCAGTGACGTCATCGATTTCTGCCAGGTTTTAGTTTGACCGCCCTAGCATTCTTCCAACCTACTCCTACACCACAATACATAGCTCGTTAAGGTAGTCGGTGGTCGGGCATTCGTAACACATGTCCCAACCACCCCAACTAATGGAGTTTCAACACTTTATCTATTGATCTGTTATCCTTACCTAGTACTCGTTTCCTAACGATAGCGTTGCTTACTCAGCTGTCCCAGGATATACAAGCAATGCTTCGAAGACATCTATGATCGAATACTACTAGCCTACGAATGTCCTCTACTCTTACCAGCCATGTTTCGCATCCATAAAGTAGGACGGAACGAACTACTGCGCAGTAGACTAGTCCTCTGGTTGGCAAACGGATATCCCGTCAGCGCCATAGGTGAGGTAAGCTGGCAAAAGCCAATCGGGCTTTTTGTATCCATGCTGAGAGTTCGTCAGTCACCAGGTCGTCGGCACTGATGAGACTACCGAAATAAATGAAGCGGTCAACACGCTCGACTACTTCACTCCCTATCACCAGTTTAGGTGCTGATGCAACCTAATCTTGAATCAACATTTAGCATTCCGAGGGGTAAAACCGCATCCCATTCTTGCATCATAGAAAACCAGATGAACTAGTATATTGATTGATACCACGAAAATAAAATTATTTTATTATTATCATCGACTTTATGCACGATGCTTGAAGAAAACAACAAAGCTGATTACGAAATGTCAATAGTACTCTCGCAGCAGACTATTAATGACGTCAAAGAGGAGTCAGTTTGGGGATGTCATGTCCGTTTAAGTTATATACAGTGGTATCAGCTGTCAGACCTCTGGCTAGGAAATGACGTGAAGGCATTCACAGCAACTACATTTACTGATTTTTATACCTCGCTCACTATCCTTGATACTGCATTATATTAGACACTGGTTCTTTACGGCTATAGTACAGAAATACTGCTAGATTGCATCGAAGACGAGAAGTGGATGAGTATTTGAAGTGATCGAAACCTGACCATTAAGGTGGATGTCTCCTAACAAACAAGTCAAATAACCTTGACTGTGAAATATCTTGTGACATATTACTGGACAAAGTGAGACATAGCTCGTAACAAAATTCCGATCGCGCTTCACATAGGATGCAATTTACTTGCTAGAGCTACTGGTATGTATAATAAAATCAATATTAAAGAAGTACACAAGTTCACAAGCCTTAGAAAATACGAACATCAGTCGCAAGTCAGAGTCAAAAAAATTATCTGTACATAGGCGACGGTGCTACAAAAAAGAATGTCCATCTAGACGATCTCGAATAAAGTTGGTTGTTTTGTACTGGATAAACAATCAACAACTTTTAGTACACTGCCTCCTTTCAAATATTTTTACAAAACAATCCTGTGAATCGTCATTAGTCTTGAATCTCTTGCTTTTTTAAGCATTCCAACACGATTTACAGAATTTACTACAACTCTCTGTATGTTTAAGAAAATGTAGACGCCTGACTTCTGCAGGAAATTTAAAAATTCCTAACAGTTATGTACAACTATCCATGAATTCTCTGAACTGAGTGAAACTCAAAAAGAAATGACGCCAAGTAATGCCAAATCTTTAAAGGAGTTTACAACATACCTCTCGCCTTGGTCAAGGCAGTTTCTGGCTTATGATACTGGCTTGGAGGCATTATCACAGGAAGACACGCGAACAGGAAGAATTCAAGTGGAGCGGTATCCACCTACGACTATAGGTTCCTTCAATCTTGAATCTTTTTCAATTAACTGCAACAGATGTTTTACGCCTTAAAAGTTTGCTTCCGTCTTATTCCCTCGAACCATTCTTTAAATTATAGACATAGAGTTTAGGATAAGGTTTTCATTCCATGATGAATATTGTTTCTGTAATAATCTATGAACATCAAGTGTGTCGTCTAAATGAGAAATATAATTTTTAGTTCCTTTTGTAACTGATTTTCGATTGTAGAGGATATTTTTACACCAAGAAAACGAGCTTTTGGATATTACACGTTCTTTGAAATGTATCTGCACTAATTTACTGTTTCCAAAATAAATCATTTCGGTTTGCGAAGGAAAAGTGGTAAGATGGTCTGGGTTAAACCTGGAGATAGAAGTCTATGAAAATGTTCAACTCATTTTACAATGTATGAACTGATTAGGCTTTGAGCCTTAAGCGAAGACGAGGGTTTTCACATAGGCGAATGATCCGATGTACAAGAGGTTACTCAGCTAAAAAATAACTTTTAGCGAACTTGTGAACCTTTTACAGTAGGTCTGCTCCAGTGTGAGGAGGGTGACGTGACCTCTGAACTTAAGTCGAAGTCATGCAGTGCAATCAGTGCTTAACCGGGATTATGCAACCTGGGTAGCCAGATAACTGGATTTAATAAAACTTCCAATGGTATGTATCATAGTCAGGATGGAACAACAGCCGCATATGTCTGCACAATCGTATTCATAGTTCCTTGAGAGATTGAGACCATGATAGAATAAGCGATCTTACAAGTCTCATCTGTACACATAATTCTAGTTTCTCTAGATTTATGGCAAGTGCTTCTGTCATTCCAAGAAAATGGCAACTCACTGCGTCTAGTAATACTTCACTTACACCATAGATGAGTCTGAACATAGAATCCATTTTAACCGAATGACCCATGTTCACGAGGTGTCTGACCGTTGAGTACTACAAACATCAGTGACAACGGGTTCCGGTTACGCTCAGAGAAATGCCAGTTATTATTGCAGCCGGTTAAGCATTTGTGATTAATCTTTGATGTCGACGGCCGCAGACCGGATCATGAAAGCTTCCGAGTTATCAGAGCGAGGCCTACTCCCACCAATTTCTCGACATTTCCATCTTGGTCATACAGGGGTTAGTCGAAAGAATTCCATAGCCAGGGGTTCTGTATAATGGGCCCTAATGGATCAACCTATCACCTAGTTGGTAGAAAAATGCAAGCGATGTCAGCAGAGATGAATACCGAAGTTCCGCCGGTTTCAAAGCCACAACATAATCATCCTTGGTCCGGGATACACGTTGACTTCGCTGGTCCAATCAATGGAACTATGTATTTAGTTGTGGTCGACACCCTTAAAAAATGGCAAAAAATCAGCCCTGTAATGCCGCTCACGACAACTAAAACAATATAGCTCCTCACTGAAATTTTATCCCGAAATCGCATATCAGATATGATTGTATCTGACAACAGGTCTCAGTTTACCACTACCCACTTTCAAGCTTTCTGTTGACGGCTGGCTATCAAGCACTTACGGTCGCCACCATATCACCCGCAATCGAATGGGCAAGCCTATAGTGTCACTGCTTCATTTATCTACGCTCCGTTCATCGCGTAAGGTGAAGTCGTAATAGTTTCAAGCATATCAACTGACGAGCATGTTACTAATTGATCCATTTCTTCCCTTTTCCGACCAATCCAGATCATGTCCCGTAACAGCTGCGGATAAAATACTTTTCGTACGATCCATATACCCAGCTTTACATAAGCAGGTAAAGTGATGAACACAAATGGAAGCATTTGCTACATACGTATGGATAAACAAGAATTATGTGTACAGAAGAGACTGGTACAACCGCTTATTCTAACATGGTTTTTTATTTTTCGTAAAAACAAGATACATTTATTTTTCTTTCACAGCCGTCTACTTCTCATCTTTATACTTCTCTATATACAATTTATTTTTTGTGACTGTTTCAATAATTCTGCTGACGACTCTCCATCTCAACTTGAACATTTTGTCCGATTATACGGTGCCTATTTTTTCGATTACGGGAAGCTAAGGATGTAAACAAGCTTAACACTAAACATTCCATGTTTTTCACACCTAAAGTCAAAGTATTTCTGCATATTTGGCAGAAGACCTTGTAGTTGGATTTTCTACCGTAGCAGTTCAATTCGATTCCAATAGACGTATGTTGGACGCACCCTCCGTTATTCGAATATCAAAACACAATAATTTTAGGAGAAAAAGGTCTATTTATATAGAAGAAATGGAAATACAAACGTTACATAACGATTTTTACGTCTTCCAATTCAAAATTACTCTGAATGAGTATCCAGGTTCCAGAGACTAGGTGAAACTCGTATACTGCAACGATATCAAATCCAAAAATGTGGCTGTAGCCATATTATATCAAATTTAAACAACATGTGTACAGTTCAGAAGCAAACATAAAAACTTCAATATAAGTACAAAATATAGAAATAATAACAATATACAATGATAAAATCTCAAAATGGAATCAAATAAAATACCAAAATGTCAACAGAAAGAGTCCGTCATGTCATAACAAAAATATATAAACATGGAGGGATTTTCCAAAACACAAAACATTCAAAAAAGATTCTACAGAGCCCTCCATTTACATGGAGTATGTTTGAAGTAATCGATACATTTGCAAATCCGGGTTTTTTGTGAGTATCGGGAGTTGAAGTCGATCTACGGCAGCGAAGCTTCTGTCAGTCTTGATCATCTTTAACATGATCATGTTGTTGGTCTGTCATTTAAAATCCTTGCTTTTACCACACTGACGAGAACAGTTTCATTCCATATCTCTGAATTTGGATTTTCCGAATCAAGGATATTCGCCGAATTTATACATCTGATTATACTTATCTTCAAAGCATTTACGACATCAAGTGGTGACACCAGGTTGTTAATTTTGAGATATGGTTTATTGCATGAGACATTTACAAATATCTCCGTAAACATCAAGGCTGACCAGCCTGATTTCGCCTGGGAATATGGCAATCTCACACAGCGATTACGTCACCACTCAGTTCTGAAGGTAGAAGACGACGTTGAAGGATTTATGGCCGCTACAGGCGTCAAAGATGGTGTTCATCCAGTGCTCCAAAAGTGAAGTGAAAAAAATATCACGCCGACATCTTAAGATTTGTGCTATCTGTAGGAACTGCACCATGCCCTAGTTAATAGGAAAAAATTCACAATATCACGAAATGCAGACGAGAAGCGAGAGGATAGAGATCTCAAGCTTTAGAATAACATTCCATTTATTTTTCAGATTGAGAAAACGTTTCTAAGAAAGTCATCTCAAACATTTTATTGGCTAGAAGTCCTGAAATCTTAGCTGAATGTTACTAGCAACTTTGTTACAGACATCGAATTTGCCATGAACTATATTAAAAATGGTTATCATTCCAAATATTGGCATGTCTTACTACTTGTTAAAGTATTTTAGTTGAACAAAAAATCCTTATTTTTTAATATGGAACTCTAGAAACTGATGAATTTTACTCCGATCAAGAACTGACCGAAGTCAGATAACCACAAAACAAATTAGGTACACCAAGTGGTAGTTTCATTCTAGTACGAGATTTTCCAATCATGATAACCTCCATTGTATAGCCGAGAATCGAACTGAAAACCCTCAGTCTCGTGCGTAAACGCCACTACTTTTTACTTTTACGTATGCTGATTGTTCAGAAGTAACCTTGACAAATCGTTGTATTAGTATTGCATTAGTGTTGTTATACGCTGACGAATTTTAGCCTCCCTGGTCTTCCTATGGATGGCAAACAAGCGAAAGGATTCTAATGGGTTGATATGGACAACACTGGGTGTGAAGGCATCATGGGACGACATGGGCTGGGAGAAAGGAATAAAAAGTGTGAGGGGTTTGCAAACCTATATGCCTTCAACAAACTGGTCATCGACGGCACAGTATTTAGACACAAACACATACACAAAGCTACCCGGATTTCAACGGATCACACCACTTAGAACAAAATCGACCATATCTGTATCAACAAGAAGTTCACAAGGACCATGGAGGATGTGAGAATCAAGAGAGGAGCTGATATAGCCTGAGATCACCACTTGCTGGTCGCTAAAATGAAACTGAAACCTGGGAAACACTGGATAACGGGGCAGACATCATCATACAATTTTAATACAGCCTTTCTTCGAGATACCGTAAAACTCAACGAATTCAAGATAGCCATCAGGAGTAGGTTACAGGCTCTGCACGATATACTCAATGGAGAGGAAAGAACCTTAGAGAACAATTGGAAAGGGATCAAGGAGGCAATCACTTCAACATGTCAGGAGGTTCTGGGCTACAAGAACTACCATCACAAGGAATGCATCTCTGTTGGTACTCTTCATAAAGCTTAAGAAAGAGGGAACAAGAAGGCAGTAATCTACATAAGCCGGACAAGATCAGAGAAAGCCAAAGCATAAGCTGAATATACAGAAGCAGACGTGCAAGTGAATAGGAGCATCAAAGCCGACTAATGTAAATATGTAGAAGATCTAGTGACGACGGCGGAAAAGGCTGCAAGAGAAGGAAACTTGAGACACTTGTACCATACAACGAAGAACTTTACTGGAAAATATCGTAAACCCAAACGATCAGTGAAAATCGAAGGAAAGCAAGTTATTCACCAACACTGAAGAACAACAGAACAAGTGGGTAGAGCACTTAAATGAACATATCAATCGACCAGCCACGAAGAACCCATCTAGAATCGATGCTTCATGCACGAACACGCCAATCAATGCCTGATGCAGTTTTAAAGACATAGATTAACAAAACGAAGACTTCATTTCTACGATTGAAGAACATCAGTATCTCAAAGCAACAATCAACCAACACCAAAGTCACACATTTCGATATAAATGTCAGTGTGGTTCTACTGTATGCGGCGGAAACTTGGAGAATTACGAAAACCACCATTCCGAAGATGCAAGTGTTTATGAACAGTTGTCTACAGCAAGATAGTGCGGGTCCCTTGGCTTGGCCCAAATAGGAACAACTTACTCTGGGAGAGAACAGACTAGTTTCCAGCAGACTAATAAATCAGGAAGGAGAGATGGAGGGGGATAGGACACTGAAACAACTACATTTCTAGCCACTTCCTGATTTGGAATTCCTAAGACCAAAGAACACATTACGCTGATCAGTGGAGACATATGAAAAGAATAAACAACAGTTGGACGGAACTAGAAAAGGAGGCCTAGGATATAATGGGTTAGAGAACGCTAGTCACCGCCCTACGCTCCTTTGGGAGTAAGAGGCTTAACTAAGTAAGTGAATAAAAACCAAAAGATCCATGGGTGAATAGGCATATATTGCTGGTATGCAAGTAATGTACACGTGCTCCTATTATGATGCCAACGCGTCAAGATTACTGAGGTCTTCACTCTTTGCGTAAACACAACGTCATGGTAGGTTTCTGTGCCTTGAAAGAATACTCTTTCCATAAACGCCATTTGGCATCGCTAAGTGAGGTTCTATCAGCCTTTATGACTGGAACACCACCACAAATTAAAGGCTTGCGGTCAATAACAATCAACAGATCACCATAAGACCCAGTATGAAACAATTCTGTTCTTCTAAATAATCAGTTTATATGTCTGATGTTGCTGTGAATGTATCTAAGTACACATATAATTTTTGTCATCACATTGCCTTTCTTCCTTTGAAGGTAATTGTGTTATCTATTGTCCTTGGTAAATACAGAGGGGTTTGGAACGACAGGACAAACATCTACCTATACAGGTATTTATAAAGATAAAATTGCAAAACCGTTTGACGAGCAAACTTCCTAGCATGGTAACTTTCATACGATCGTTCATGTCAATGGCATCCCATTATCAGTTGACAAATATCATGAACCTATAGGTAACTCGATAACTATTCGACGAAACTAATTTGCTACAGTTGTCTAGTGTCTTCTAGTGAAATTTAAAACTACTCTTTCGATCTATTTGGTACTGATACGCTGTATTCACCTACATCCAAATGTTATTGTTTGCACAAAGACAAGAATTGAGAAGCATTCAATTCAGGCGGTAACACGTTATCCATTGAGCTATTGAATTCAAATTGGTGTTGGTTTTTTTCTCAACAGAAATTAGTTTTATTTGCAAAGATTAATGATTTTTCTTTCCAACAACTTCTAACCACTAACAACTTCAAATGAACCTCTAAAAAAATTTATTGAAAATTTATCGTTTTTTACATTATTGACTTTATTTCCGTTACATTTAGTTCTATGATTAGAAAAAAAAGCTTTTTATGAAAAGGAAAAAAGCAAATGATCATGTTTTTGTATAAATCTATCAAAAATTTCAAAAATGTATATCTTGATTTGTTTATTTCAAATCCATGAACATATTTTCTGATCATTGGACGCTGAATAAAGATAACCTGATTCATAATCTAAAACAATTGATTGAATTGAACTATCATGTCCTTGTAAAGTAGATATCTAGATGAATGTTTTTTTTGTAAGAATAAACAAATATAATAATATGTTGAATTAAAAATTTCCTTAAAAAATGTTTTATTAAGTTAATGTTATTAGACATGTATACGGAAGTAGATGAACATTGATTAAATGAATTTCTGTATTCTGTTCATCTAGGAGTCTCAAATCTTAGTCAGTCAGTATGCAACAGCGTAGAAAGTCATACGTACCTACGTATGCAAATCAGACCAAGTTGCCACACCACATTAACACAAAGATGTAATTGTCAATTCAGATCCCATAGTAATAAAGGTAGTAGAAGTATTAGCAGTAATCAAAAAGATTATTGATCGAATATATCATTCGAGATATATACCCCAGAGGAATCGATTAAAAAAGAGAGAAATCGGTCATGGGTAATCCAGAAAATTAGGATTTGAGAGAACACAAAGAGTGGATGCACCCGCGACATTGTAAACGATTCTGAGCCATATCACTCAAGGTCTATAAACACCGTTTACTATCATCTCGCGGACTTCATGCATTAGTGCCATGTTTTTGTTTGGCCACTCCTAACTTTCTTCCAACCTTCTACTACATTAAAAAACATCGCTCGTCGAGGCAGTTGGTGGTAAGGAATTCATAACACATGTCCCAAGCACCCTAATTAATGGAGTTTCAATACTTCATCAACTGATCTGCCATCCTTACCTAGTACTCGTTTCTTAATACAAGTACTGTTTACTCACTTCTCCCAGGGCATATCAACAGTGCTTCGAAAACATCTATGATTGAATACTAGTCACCTATGAATATCCTCGCTTCTTAGTGGCTATGTTTCACAGCTATAAAGTAGGATAGAGAGTAGTCTGAAATCTATTATTTGGTGCACTCAAACAGTTTGGTTGCTTAAAGTTCATGGAACTTACAGGCTGAAGACATTCTATCTAATGAATATATATCTAGCCTTACAGTAAGTTAGTCACGTAGTTATCGTGTTTATTTAATATAATCAAAATGAGGAATTACAGGATGAAGTTGTATTAAAATGTAGAAATCACAATCAGAGTGTGGAATGTGAATGCACCATTGTTAGACCAAATCTAGAGACCTGGAAGCACCTTTTAGAGGGATTTTTCTTCCTAGTATGGTACTCATCAGAAGTGCGCATCCGAGACTCCTGCTACTCGCAAGATTCGAACCCAGGACCTTCGATCTTTTGCACGAACGCCTGAACTGAACTGGCAACCAATGGTGTTTTGTGTCTAACTCTGATCAATTTAAGGATTTTGCGTGGCCTCACTTCATTTCTCTCTGGTAGTTACTGCCTACGCTCGACGAGGTTGAACTTTACTGGTCACCTCTGGTAGTCTAACAATGGTTGATCCACATTTTAGTAATAAACTATAATCTCCATAACTGTATCATGAGAAAACAGAGTATGATAAAGATACTAAATATTTCGATCTCATTCAGTCGATTAACTTATCGACGCTAACCATTATTTGATCCTGTTGAACTCGATGTGGATTGAACATCATCTTCATGATCAGAATCTTGGTCAACATGACAGCTCATGGAATAGAGTTCCATTGTATTTTATGAACTTTGTATTTGTATAATGTATGTACTTCGAATCGACTGATATCTCAACTGACATATGACAAGAATCTAATCAGTATCTTAAAATGATGCGGAATTTTAGGCCTAATTATCATATAATCTACTCATGATTAAGATATGCCTTACTGCTGTCACACCAATCTGCGGTTAGCCGTTCGACTTCGCCCTCAGACCTTCAGTAGCTGCTTTTAGTCTGATCGTTCTCGAATAGACCTGACTGGCATGGTAAAACCTTCAGGAACATATGTTCCAGCCAGTATAGCTCGGCTTGGTCATCTCGATAGTCAAGCCCGACAACCACATCAAGGTAGCAGCTTCGGTCGGGAAGCACAGTGTTGGACGGCCGTTTCGTCCTGGTATGGGACTCAACATCGCAACGTGCATCCACGACTACTGCCATATGCAGGATATGAACCTAGGACCTTCGGTCTTGTAAGCGAACGCCTAATCTTTGAACCATTGAGCCGGTGTCCAACACTGTTAATGCATAACTCTGATCAACAATGACACATTCATGATTTCAAAGTAGAACTACCATCTTCATAATACTCTAATGCAAGAATTCTACAGTTATAGATCAAAACGTTTGATAGTAATATCTCGTGTAGCTGAGGACTTTACCGAGAACATTTGTTCCCTGAGAGTATACATGCAGCATATTGATGGGATTTCATTTAAATTCGGTTATCAAAAATTAAGCGGACAAATACCAAAACAATAAATCATTTGTACTTTTAAGTACAGTGTAACCCAATCGGTCGAACTTGATCAGTATATAGAGTATGACACTCATTATTGACAACTAATATGAGATTCTGACTCGTCAGCAGTGCCCAGTAAGCGCGAAATCAATTCAAGACCTTCGGTCTCACTCACGAACACTTAACTTATTCACCAATGAGCCGAAATCCAACTGCGTTAATATCTAACTCCAATCAGCCTATCATCTTGCATAATCTTCATCTTGGGTTCAATTCCTTAGTAGAGGGATCGTGGGTGCACATTGTTGGTGAGTTCCATACTAAGACAAAACGACCGTCCAGTGATTCTAGGTTTCTAATGGTGGTGTACCTTAGACGAGTTCGTGATTTTAACCATGAAAATCATACAATCTTCACAAATCCCCTTGTTCTATAAAGGTAGTTGATTACTCACGTATAAAATTGGAAGTATTCAGTTAGACTTAGTTGTTAAGTTGTAGATGAAAACCACAAAGTTATACCAAACGAATATGAGACTTTTAGTGATTCACAACAAGGATTATTTTACGAATAAAAATGAACAACTGATTAACAGGAATTCATTTGCATTTCATGGTTTCTTTTCAGTTTTTTTTTCACGTTGAAATCATCAATCAATCATTGTTAGGTCACCATTAGAAACGTGGATGCACTGAACGTCCGTTTCTTCCTGGTATGGGACTCATGAGCAGTGCACGTCCACGACTCAAAATACTCACAGGATCCGAACCCAGGACATTCGGTCTTGGGCACGAACGCCTAACCTCTGAAACACTGGGCCGATATCCAATGGTGTTAATCTCTAATTCTGATCAACAAAAGGATTTCGCTCGACCACACGCATTTGTCTTCTTATCAGTAGCGTACAACTATATAAGTGTCATAAAGTGTAACAATGGGTTATGATATAATATAAAGCAATATACAGTGATGTTGGAAGAAATCAGAGTAACAAAGAATGATAACCAGATATATATCTGTGTGTGAATAGGTAAGAGGTCATTGAAATCATTAACAGACATAAAATCACAGCGTCTCTTCAATGCACTGAAGCAGTATTACTTAATAAAAACTTAAATCTAATTTATGTGTCCAAAAAAGAGAAACTTTGATCATCAACTTATTACACTACTTTGGTAGTTGTTTACTTGTTATGTAAACCTTTCAAGTATTACGTCTAGACAATTGATTGAGAACCTGTGTAAACAACTTTTCATCACTTCTATAATTTCGTTTGAACAAAGAGCAGTTGCTCTGAAAAATGTCATGTATTTGTGCGACATACACTTTGAACAATCACACATATATTTGTTAAAACATTTCATATTCATTCAGGTCAATTAAATAAAAGTTCAAATCGATATATGGGGGTTAATTGTAAATAAGGGAGAGAGAAACATAAGGGGGTGTGAATTGACGAATTAGCAAGTCTCATATCAACCTTAAATTTCGTCCTTGAACTTTTCTAGATAATGTTTTTATAAGCTGTCTTGATGTCAATCCTATACCCCGTTTCAATTATGTATTTTGCTACGTTTATCAGGTCGTCTGATGTTCACTGATTTTGAAACGGTTTAGGAACATATTTCATAACCCTCGATTGCAATGTCCGATTACAATTCTCCCTATGTATGTTTGTCCACACAAACATGTAGATCGATTAAGGCAAAGAGCTGTGATTTAGTCGTTCAACGAATGTCTAGGCCTATGTGGAATCATGCGCTAAGTCTTTTCAATTATATTACGAGGTTGTAAAGATTGTTAAGTTACACATTTTTGAAACCATGAATCAATCAATGTTAAACCACCATTAGAAACCTGGACGCACTGGACGGCCGTTTCGTCCTGGTATGGGACTCGGCAGTGGCAGTGCGCATCCACGACTCCTGCACCCCGCAGGATTCGAACCCAGGACCTTCGGTATTGTAGGCGAACGCCTAACCATCAACTCTGGGTCATAGTATGTTTTCTCAATATGTGAAAAGTCAAACTGTTTGATTCACATCTAAATGCTACAGAGATAATAAACACTTTTCTTTTCAATAGAATAAAAGATAAGTGACTTTTACACATACTGATAAACTTTAGTGGAAAAACCGTTTGAAATCAATGTTTCAGTCAAACTTCTGTCATTGTCACATGACCCATGTTACGTGTTTCCGAACTTTAATCAACGACTATATCACCTTTCCATAAGTTTATTTTTCAACAGAACTCTATCTTCAAATGACCTCAAACCGGTTCACGCACAGATATACATACTTGTTCATCCATAGTTAATATTACTGTCCATCTTGATTACTCTAATTCCTTCCATCATCAATGTATATTACTTCATCTTATATCACACATCATTGGCAAAGTTTATCACATTTATATGGTTGAAAGTAGCTAATGAGAAACCATGAAATGCAAATCAATCCACATTATTCCGTTTAAATTACTGTTCTAACCTTATTTGTGCAAAAACCAGCTAGTAAAAACAGACAATATTTGAAGAATACTAAAGTTCTACCACTAGCGTCTTCGTAGTATCGCTTAAATATCTTCGTACAGCAGAGTAAGTGATGACGATGTTAGGAAAAGGCTAAGGATGACAAATCAATAGTTGAAGTAGTGAATCTTGATCAGTCCAGGTGGTTTGGATGTGTATTAAGTTCGCCTAACCACTGACTGCTCCGACAAGCGATGTATTATTATGTGAGTGTAGGCTGAAAGAAAGCTAGGGTTGGCCAGATCAGAACATGGCATAAATCCATAAAGTCACTGACAGGTGTATTGAGCCATGTTAGTAGGTGTAGGCTATGTGGTTGGAGTCTGCGGGACAATAGTAACCGATGATTAGAGACCTTGAGTGACATAGCTCAACATCATTTACAATGGCTCAGATGCAAATATTCTTTGTTTTCACACAAATTCTAATCTTTTGAATTCCACATGACCTTTATCTTCCTCTTCTCAAATTTATTTCACTAGATTATACTTCTTGAATAACATTTTCAAACCCTAATCTTTCTGATTATTGCTTATACTTTTACTACCTCTACTGTGGTGTGAGCTACTTATAAGTAGTATATGATGCGAGTGTAAACTTAATGTCTGGCAGCAGAAGATGGAGGAAGATCAAGAAACGAAGAGTGGGAACACAATGGAATTTGTATGAAACGCATGAACAGTGAAATGTCAGACAATGGATCGATGTTTTGCAACAGGAACTGATAGTTTGCAAATTAACGATTTACAATATGGTTTTCCGATTTTACTGAGTAACTCTGTAATTTTCGGTAAAGTACAATCCGGTTGCCCCACCTGTGTTCTCCTTCACTACACTACCACTGACAGATTTGTACTGGCAATCCTATCTCTCTCTCTCTTCCTAATATGGTATGTCAACTTGAAATGATATATGTACGTACAAAGTTCTACTTTGTAGCTGACCAACTAAATGGTCTAACAAAACAAACTGAATCATTGAATACCCGTATAAAATCATTCAAACTCAACTTATTCTTAAAAAAACAAAAACACAAACTCCTCAAACACCTACTTGACCAGTTGATATTTCAACACAATAAAGTTTTGCATCATCACAAGCTGCAACAATGTATTCACTGTTTAAATCAATAGCCAATTGATTTATACCACCAAGTTGTATATCATGTTGTTGATGATGAGGATGTTGTGTGGATGTAGGATTTTGACGATGAGTTGGTTGTTGTTGGTGTTGTTGTTGATGATGATGGTGATGGTGAGTAGGACGATCGATTTGTCGAGTTTTATTCAAATCAAAACAACTCGGTAAACTTTTAGTTGGCATATTATTATTGTTATTAGGTAATTTTGCTTTGATTGTATTGGGTAAATTGGTTTCCAATGCAAAATTATCCATTTTACGTAGATCCCATAAACGAATAACACCGCCACTGTCGCATGATATCACATTAGTACCTTGTTGATTAAATATAGCATGATTGATGGAATGTGTATGACCAAGGAATGTATGTTCACATAAACCCTAGAGTTTGTTACATGAAAAGAAATTTGTTTAAACCGATGTTCAATGTTTATTGAATACTAAGTATGTAATCTAAATTGAATCGGATGACATTTGAAACATTTACACATTAAAAAAAAGAGACCATATCTGTCTAGTTTGCTTAGTAAAAAATCATGAATTGATCTAAGGTAAACCATTGATAAAAACCTAGAATCATTGGACTTTCTTTGTATCCAAGTATGTGACCCTTCAGCGACCAGTGTAGTAGTAGCCGTTACAGCAACAATAGGTCTCAATGTACACAAAGGGAAATGCATGATCCTTTGATATAACACAACATGCACCAACCAAATCACTCATGACGGAGAAATTTTGGAAGGTGTAAAAGCCTTATCACAAACAAGTTGCATCTGATGCTGATGTGAACGAGCGAATGAGCAACAAAAGCGGCAGCATTTCTACAGCTGAAGAACATCTAAAACTCATAATAACTATCAACCAACACCAAAGTCACAATTTCTAATACAAATATTAAGACAGTTCTCTGTATGGGGCAGAAACTTGGGAAACTACAAACACCATAATCCAGAATATACAAGTGTTCATTAACAGCTATCTACGCAAATTACTTCAAATTCTCTAGTCCGACACTATCAGCTATAACCTACTGTAGGACAGAACAAACCAGATTCCAGTGGAAGAAGAAATCAGCAAGAAG